ATTTTAAATTGTTTTTTCTTTTTTTTTTTAAAATTTCCATAGCCTAATAATGTGGACCGTTGATCTCAGATCCAACGACTGAAATTAAATGAGGTTTTTAATTTTTTTTTTTTTACCTTGAAAATCCAATGGTCCATAAAATATAGCCGTTGAAATCCAATGGACATGGGGAAGCCACGTGGCCTCCCCAACAGTAAGAAATCTGAGTGGGTTGCGGGCCCCATTTCTGAATTTATGTCCCCCAACGCGCGCCCACGTGCGTTTGAAGGCCACGCGCCTGACAGAAAAAAAATAAAAAAAGCAGTTGACGTCACCCTGATGTCACACCCACTTCGGGCTCTCGGGCTGGCAACTCGTGCCAGGCCTCTCCCCCGGGCTGGGCCTGTCCCTCGGGCTACCACACGTTGGACCAAATCAGTCGGGCTCTCTAGCCCTGTTCACGGGCCTGTGCCCAGAGCAAAAGCTCCCGCTGGAGCTGCTCTAAGCGAGTTTTACAACGACCGTGAAGGATATCTTGTGAATGACATGTGTATAATCGAGGCCAAGGTTGTAGTCCATAAGTCTGAAATTAAGCTTTTAGAAGACCAAAAAGGTTGTAAAGCTGCACTTGTTCTGAGGGGGTGCCTACCACAGGATGCACCAAGTCGCAAGCAGGTTTGCACCGAGCCTACTGATAGCCCTCCTAACCGTCCCATTGTCAAGGACCATTAGGATGCGTCCTCCACACCAGTTTAGGTAAAATAAGGAAAGCTTTTGTTCCACTGCGCGATGAAGTTTGTTTGTGGCATCCTTCTCCTATTGAATTCCGAGAGAAGAGAAGCCGCGTATCTACTGAGTCGGTAAAGAGAAGCTGCAAGGTTATAGTCAATGAAGGAATGTGTGATCAACTTATTCTAAATTTGTGTTAAAATTAGTATACGCCATCGAGGCAACGACCAAGAACAAGGATGCCTTCTTTGAACCATGTATAAAGTATATATTAACCTTGCCGTGGGTAACAAGCAAAATCAGATAGTTCTTGTCAATCACGGGGAAGTAGAAATCGGAATAATTTCGCTGTCTCTCTGTCAAATAAATGGGAAGTCAAGAAATTGAAATAATTTCAATACCCATGGAGAGAACTTCAAGAAGCAAAAGAATTTGAGTACTCAAATTCGACCTGTTATTTACACGTGTCAAATAAATACCGATTAACCTTATTGGATCAAATGATAGGCATTATTGAGAAAAATAAGGCTTTTCTCAGATGAAATGGAAATTTGATTCATGTTACAACATAAAGGTTTTTCATTCCATAGCCAAAAAGATATGCAGCCATGAAACTTGGATTAAAGGGAAACATAATCGACTGAGCGGTAGAGTCATGGAAACACTTGTTTCTGACTTTCTTCCATATTTTGGACCTTAGTTCTACGGAACAATTATGAGAAATCCAAAAGCATCCAGCTAAAAAGGAACTTTGTGGAAAGACAATTATGCCATTGCCATTTCTATACCGTGAATGTTATGAGATTTATGAAAGATTTTGTTTCATTGAATAAATGAGTCTTTACAACTGTGCATATATATATACACCTGCTAATCATAATTAGCACGTAATCAAGTAGAACTAATTACACTAAGACAACAATTAGTTACACTAAGCAAACAGAAAACTGTTATGATGTGCTGGATTGTGTGTCAATACACCCCCTCACGTTGACAGGAGGTAATCTGAGGGAAAGCTTGGACTGCAAAGCATTGAACCGAGCTTTAGAAAGAGCCTTTGTGTGAATATTAGCAATTTGATGTTGAGCAAACACATACTTGACATGAAGAAGATGAGACAATACTAACTCCCGAATATAGTGATAATCTATTTCAACATGTTTGGTACGAGCATGAAAAACTGGATTCGAAGAGAGGGAGATGGCAAAGACATTATCATACCATAAGACAGGAACTTTGGATAAAGGAAAGCTAATGTCTTTGAAGATCTTACAAACTTATGTAATTTCTGCTGCAGTATGTGCTAGAGAATGATATTCAGCTTTTGTGGAAGAGCGAGCAACTCTACTTTGCTTCCTGGCACTCCAACTGATAAGGTTGCTGCCCAAATACACATAATAGCCACTGGTTGAATGCCGGTCATAAACACAGCCAACCCAATCAGTATCAGAGAAAGCAGTGAGATGGAGAAGACTCTTTGTAAACGATAACCCTTGATTGACAGCTTGATAATGTGTATCTCGTGGACAATGAAGGAATTGGAAAACTTGATTAACTACAAAGGATAACGCAGGTCGTGTCCATGTCAAATATTGGAGAGCACCAACAATGGACTTGTATTCATGAGAATTAGATAAAGGGGAGCCAACATGATCTAATTTCTGACTACCAAGTGGTGTTGAACACGGTTTGCAACCTTCTATCTTTGCTTTAAGTAATAAATCAAGAGCATATTTCCCTTGAGAAAAAAAAATGCCATCTGAAGATCTGTGGACTTCTAGGCCTAAGAAATAATGAAGAAGACCTAAGTCCTTAACTGGAAACAGTTTACCAAGTTGAGTGATAAAATCCTTGCAGACTGAAGGATTTGGACCCATGACCAATATATCATCCACATAGACCAAAATAATCACCAGTGCAGGAGAGAAGGTAACAAAGAGTGAGCAATCAGATTGTGAGTTAGAGAAGCCAAGAAATAACAGGGCATGAAACAATTTGTCATACCAAGCTCTAGGAGCTTGCTTAAGCCCATAGAGTGATTTATTTTACTTGCAAACATAAGAAGACTTAGAAGAGTCAATAAAGCCTGGAGGTTGCTGTATGAATACTTCTTCTTTGAGGAAACCATGAAAAGCATTACTAATGTCCAATTGATTCAAGAACCAGTCAAACTGAACAATCAATGTTAGCAAGATCCGAATAGTCACTGGCTTTGCAACAAGACTAAAGGTTTCCTTAAAATCCACACCTTCTTGTTGATGGAAGCCTTTGGCTACTAATCTAGCCTTGTACCTGTCCACAAAACCATCAGGTTTCCTCTTTATTCTAAAAACCCATTTACAACCAATCAAATTCTGATGAGGATAAGATGGAACAAGAGTCCATGTACCAGTAGACTGTAAAGCTTGAAATTTCTCTAACATAGCTTGTTTCTAGTGATCATGCTTAGAGGCTTGTAAATACGTAGTAGAAACAAATTGGGCAAAATCAATAGGGTGTTTGGTTGCTGTTAAAGCCTTTGGTTTAAAGATTCCAGCTTTGGATCGAGTTATCATTGGGTGAGTATTGTGGGGAGGTGAAGGGGGAATGGGAGAAACAGATGGTTGAACGGAAGGTGGAGAAGCCAATTGAGAGGCAAGATGTGAAGAAGTAGAGCTGGAACAATGTAATGGAGAAGAGGATATAATAGAAGGTACAATGGGTGCAGTAAGAGGTGAAGTAATGGGAAAGGGTAAAATAAATGATGAATCTGGAACAGAAAATGAGTATTGGGTAAATGGTTGAAGAGGCTTTTGATGAAATGGAAAATGACTCTCATTAAACAAGACATGCCTGGAAATATAGACCTGAGATGTTTGCATATCTAAACATCTATACCCCTTATGCTGCAAGCTATAACCAAGAAATACACATGGTGTATTCTTGCCACCAAGTTTAGAAGAAACATAAGGTTTGAGCCAAGGATAGCAACTGCATCCAAAAACTTTTAACCTTGAGTAATCTGGAGGCTTTTGAAAAAGAAGTTCCCATGGTGATTTATCCAAACCAGAAATTGGCAATCTATTAACTAGATAAACTGCAGTGGAGAAAGCTTCAACCCAAAATTTGTGGGGAACTTTGGAGGCAGCAAGCATTGTTCGAGTGGTCTCAGTTAAATGCCTATGTTTCCTCTCAACACATGCATTTTGCTCTGGGTTGTGAGGGCAACTGAACTGATGCAAAATACCATGTTGGAGAAGAAATGAACTAAACTAAGAACTTGTAAACTCCCCCCTTGAATCAGATCGTAAAGTCTTGATTTTGTTTCCAGTCAAATTCTCAACATATGATTTGAAATGCACAAATATGGAGAAGACCTCATATTTGAACTTCAAAGGAAATAGCCAACTGTATTTGGTAAACTCATCAACAAACAAAACATAGAATTTATATCCACTTACAGATGAGATAAGAGCAGGGCCTCAAACATCACAGTGAACAAGTTCTAAACTGTGAGTAGTACTGCTAATGCTTACAGAAAATGGCAACTTATGATTTTTACCAATTGCACAATCTTGACAAAAGAAAGATACAGATTCTTTGTCAGTGTAAGCAAACTTATTTCTACTTAATATCTTCCGAAAGATTGCAGAAAAGGGATGTCTAAGCCTCTTATGCCAAAGTTGTAAGGAAGTTGGAGTACTAATATTAGCATAGGATGATGAAGAATCTAGAGCACAAACAGAAGCAGGTGAAGTACCTTGCACATGATAAAAGCCTAAGCTAACTGGCCCTAGAAAAAGCATCATCCCCGTAGAACGGTCCTTGATTGTAGAACCATCAGAATCAAGGATTAATTAACAGTAATTATCCTTTAAAAATTGATATGCAAAGAGGAGATTAAACTTCATGTGAGGAACATGGAGAACATTGTTCAACTTAAATGCTGCAATTGGAGTTTTAAGAACAGAAGTACTAGTGTGGTGAATGGGCATACCTTGACCATCACCGATATAAACCTTGTCTTCACCATGATAAGGCATAGGAGAATGAATAGCAAATATATCATTCGTGGTATGCGAGGTAGCTCCAGAGTCCAAAATCCAGGAAGGAGAGGTAAATTTAGCAGTGGTGTGAGCACACATTGCTGCTAATTTGGCTGGTGGAATTTTCCCAGCAAACGCATGATTCATGCGTTCAAAGCAGTCAATTGCTTTATGATCCTGAGTGTGATAGATTTGACAGGGAACTCAGCCACCAGAGTATTGTCGATTTGAGCCTCTCGGAGAACGACTTGGATTGTAGGAGTTGCCTCAGAAATTACAAGTCCCACGATAATTGTTGAAAATGCGATTGTTGCCACGATTATTGCCACGATTGTGACCACGATTGGTGCCTCTATAATTCTTAAAAGAATTATAGTTGGAGTATGGAGCAGGAAATGCTTGAGGAAAGGCATTAAATTGAGGCGTTGGAAGAATCGGAGCTTGAGAACGTTGAGACTGAGCAACATAGGCATGAAAAGGTTCTGTAACAGAAGGAACAACAAATTTCTTCTTCCGACTCATAAAGAGTTCTTTGTTGATCAATAAACCATGAAGTTCATCAAGAGTTGTGGAGGAAATTTGCAGCATTATAGAGTTAATGAAGGACTTGTACTCATCAGAGAGGCCATTGAGCGAAACAGCAATAAGATCAGGATAAAAAATTGGCGTGCCGGCAAACATTAAAGCATCCGAAATACTTTTGGTTTGCTCAATGTATTCAGAGATTGAAAGATCACCTTTCTGAATTGAGTGAAGGCAAGTGTGAAGTTGGTGAATGTGCGCAGCAGAGACTCCATCAAAGCGTTGTTCAAGATTGATCCATAATTCGCGAGATGAAGATACACCAACGGTGAAAGGTATGATTTCTTCAGATAAAATGGAATTCAACCAAATGAGGATGTTTTAATCCTTCTTATACCAAGCTTCAAAGGCTGGATTCGAAGCACTGGTGCTGTGGCCAGAATTGTCAAGAAGAAATGGTGGTGGACACACTTCAGTATCGTCAAGAATTCTAGTGAGCTTGTAACGACAACAAATTGGAGCAAAGAGCGCCTTCCATGCGAGATAATTGTCTCGTTTAAGCTTCGTGGGAACCATACAACTAATGTTTTGGATTGTGATCGAAGAAATAGATGAAATTAGGGAATTAGGGTTAGGGTTCATCGAAGATGAATTTGGGGCAAGAATGTCAAGATTCGCTAGAGAAGACACCAAAGATGCCATCGTAAGACAGAGAGAAACAGAGATGAAAAATCGAAAAGATGGAGAATCAATCAAAAACTGAAGAAAAAAATGATTAGGGTTAAGGTTCATCGAAGATGAATTTGGGGCAAGAATGTCAAGATTCGTTAGAGAAGACACCGAAGATGCCATCGTAAAGACAGAGAGAAACAGAGATGAAAGATCGAAAAAATGGAGAATCGATCAAAAATTGAAGAAAGATTGCAAATGAAAGCACGAAGAGAATTAATCGAGAGACGAAGATCGATGAGAATCACGAAGAGGTGAAGAGGATCGCGCAGAGGCGGTTAAGCAAAAGGTGGTTGATACCATATAAGATTTATGAAAGATTCTGTTTCATTCAATAAATGAGTCTTTACATATGTGTATATATATACACCTGCTAATCATAATTAGCACCTAATCAAGTATAACTAATTACACTAAGACAAACAATTAGTTACACTAAGCAAATAGAAAACTGTTACGATGTGTTGGATTATGTGTCAATAAATGTACCGACTGGAGCCGTTTACTGTCTTTGACGTCTATGTATGTTTTTTTGAGAGATATGCAGTTTCTATTTTGTCTAACACTTTAAATTTGTCGAACTTTATGAGTAACCTTTTTTTTTTTTTTTTTTTAGTGCATCGATATTAGGAGAGAGGGAGTTCGGTTAAGCCATATAATGGGCAGCCTAATTTAATATTGAATTCGTTATCCCCTTTTCGAAATTGACGATTGCATCCCTGTGTCTGCGTTGGCTCCTGCCATGTACCCCTGGGACTCATTTATGTTCAACAGAATGAAATGCTCATTCGATTGCGTTTCGATAGCGGCCGGTGCCGCCTCATCGTTGCCGCTATCCAAGAGACTAGTGTTCTTAAACAAAGCTGAACAGAAAACGAAATCCAAATTTACCCCTAAATATTTATAATGTGCTTTTTTTTTTCTTTTCAGTACATCAATATTTTTACACTAAGGAAAGAGGGAGTTTGGCTAAGCCATATAATGGGCAGTCTAATTTAATATCGAATTCGTCATCCACGAGATTCGAACCTAAGACCTTTCACTTCAGAGGAATACCATCAGACCGTTATACTGAGTGGCTTATGAGTAACAATTGATGTTTTTTTTGCCATGAATGCACTTAATGAAGATGCTTATTATCATGATTGACCGCCTATATTTTTCATAAGAGATACAGACGCCTACTCTATCTGACATCTCACATCTGTGTAATTATAAGAGTAATTCCATTGATCATTAAGTTTGTCGTGAACGCACTAAATGAAGCTATATTTACTATCTTGAACTCCTACATGCATCTTTCATAGGAGATACGCATGTCTGACACATCACGTTTGTCACATTATACGAGTAACTAAATTGCCAATTTTTTTTTTTGTCGCAAATGCATTCTACTTCGTCTGACACCTTACAATTCTAAGGGCTCGTTTGGAGCATTTGTCTTTATCTTTTGTGGGAGACATGCAAACCTATTTTGCAAGATTAAATTCCAATCTTCCCTGGTTTAAAATAGAAAAAGAAAACTCAATAAATGGTAATCCTATTCCATTATTCAATCGCCATTAAAATTAGGATTTGATGCCTCTATGAGGGCTTATCCTGGAGTTATGATTCAAATTCGTTCACGATCTTTTAAAAAACTTTGGAGGTTTTGTCTATTCTTGGTGGATTCCGAATTGCTAATATACTAATCTAAGGACCCATTTACTAATCTGTAATCAAATTGAGATGAATTGAATTGAGGAGGAATTGGATTGAGAATGAATTAAAATGAGGCGGAATCAGCATTAGATTCATGTTGAAGTTGTTCACTAAAACTGTCTGGATCAGAATAGAATTCCATAAAACTGTTTATTAATTTAGCAAAAACGAAATATAAACCAGTATGATTACTAAAATGCCCTTATTCCAAATCAAATATTTTATATACTTTTTTTTTTAATAAAATTTGATATAGTATATAATAGTAAGAAAAAAATTAAATTGCTTTTTTATTTCATAGACACTAAAATGATTTTGTTTATTTTCTTTTACAAATTTAAGTATTTACTTTAATATCTAAATTTTCTTGCTCAAGTTGTAGTTTCTTCTCTTTGACATATGTATAGAGTTGTGTATAATATGAGTCTTGGGTTAAGGATAATCTTGGAAATATTGCTTGGGCAATTCAGAATCCAAATTAGCCAAATCTTGGAATTGGATTTCATTTTTTGTGCGGGCCCCCATGCACTTTTGATTCCTCTCAATTTTAATAAACACATGTATAATCCGTAATCAGAATCGAATTCTTTATTCTCATTTTGATAACGGGTTAGTAAACACACTATAAAATTTGACATTTGACGTTTGCCGATCCTTCAATGCCCGTTTTACGCTGGGTCAACTTTATGATCAAAAGCACTTATTTCAACAACAACAAAAAGAAAAAAAAAACACTTTTCTCATCCCTTTGCTAAACACTTAAATTGTCAAACAAGAAAATAACTAGGATAAAGTACAAAAAACTACCTCAACTATTGGTGTCACGACACTTTCATACCTCATCTTTTAAAATTGACAATTTCATACCTCATCTTTAGAATTTGTGTGAATCTTATACCTTCTGTTAGCTTGGCCATTTATTTCTTAGTTAAATTTTGACGTAGCTTGAGCCGAACCCATTTTGTATTAAAAAATTATTAAAAACTAAAAAAAAATCATTTAATAATTTTTAAATATTAAAATAATAAAGAAAAGTAAAAAAAATAAAATTAAAAAAACCCTCACGTCCCCTTTCCCACCCCCCCTCAGTCTCTCTCTTCTCCCCTATCTTCATCTTCTTCCCCTTCCAGCGCCATTCCTGCAACCCAAAAAAAAAGAAGAAGAAGAAAAGAAAAAAAAACCAATTTATCTTCCCCCCTCCCAAACTCGCGATTTTCCCCGACCCCCTTCCTTTCTTCCCCCCTCCTGTCTTCCCTAAACCCGCACCCACCCTCACACTGACTACCTGCAACCCAAAAAAAAAAAACCCAGGAAAAAACCCAGTTCGTCCGTCCCCTCACCCAACCTGCAGAAGAAGAAGAAGAAGAAGAAGAGAGAAGGAAAAAAAAAGGAAACCCAGTTTGTCCGTCCTTCTCTTCATCCCGCGCACCCACCCTCTTCCCTCCACACCCATGCCCCCCATTTTCTCCGCGCCCAGGTTCTTAACCTTCGGAATCGGCATGGCGAAGGTTTCCCGATTCCACCTCAACGGGATCTGGGTTTTTTTTTTTGGGTTGCAGGTAGTGGGTGCGAGGTTGGGTGCAAAGGGTGAGTGCGGGGAGAAGAGGGGGTGGGGACTGGGAAGACAAATTGGTTTTTTTTTTTCCTCTTCTTTTTTCTGGGTTGCAGTTGCAGGAAGGGAGAAGAAGAGAGAGATGGGGGGGGGGGGGAAGGCGACGAATTGAGTGTTGGTTTTTTTTTTTTTAATAACTTTTTTTTTATTATTTTAATAGTTAAAAAATATTAAATGATTTTTTTTTAGTTTTTAATAATTTTTTAATAAAAAATAGGCCCTGAATCACCACCTCAGCATTTAACTAAGAAATTCACGCTAAGCTAACGAAATGTATAATATTGGCACAAATTTGTAAAATGGAGTATGACATTGTTAATTTTAAAAGATAAGGTATAAAAGTATCGTGATACTAATAATTAAAGTAGTTTTTTGTACTTTGCTCAAATAACTATTTTAAAATAAAATGAAAAAGGATAGAGACGGCTGTCCGTGTCAATGAAGGTTCTTCCTCCGGATCCTCCTTGTACCGCTTTTTCTATGACTGAGTTGCAGTTACAGACAGACAAAGAATTATCTGCCGTTTTACTTTAAGTGATCTCTGTGATTTTATATTTATGTGGTCACGGTTAAGTTATATTAAAATTTTATATTATTATTTATTTTAATTTTATTATCTTTATAAAAAAATAATATAAAATATTAACGTGATTTAATCGTGACCACACAAAACAGTAGGGCATCGGAAGTGGAAGTTGAGACAATTCTTGTCCGTTACAGACGGACTCTGTCTCTGTCTCTGAGCAATTGGAATCGTCCATGGCAAGGTACTTCTCTCGATCCAACACTCTCTGATTCTCTTGTTTCAACATTAAATGCTTTCACCTCCCAACAAATATGAATCAAACCAACAGAAAGAAAAAGCATAATAACAAGCAGGAGGTGCTGCTGTGCTGGATTTTCCCCCGCCGTGGATGGTACAAGCTCAACGTCGACGGGAGTTACCGCAGCGGGTCACAGTGCATAGGAGGCGGCGGCGTGATCCGAAACCAGGACGGAGAATGGCTGTGTGGGTTTGCCGAAAATCTGGGAATGGACAAGAAACCCATTGAGGCGGTGCTTTGGGCATTGTACAGAGGCCTGGAGCTCGCCTGGAATTCTGGGTGGACCCCAGTTGAGGTCGAAACGGACTCCGCCATGGCGGTGAACCTCGTGTGCAAATTGGTTAAGTTGCACAATCACTCTCAATTTATGTTGATTAGGAACTACCAGCAACTGATTAGGAATTGCCAGAATCTGCTTACCCAAATCTGGAACTACTCCATGCAGCATGTGTACCGGTAAAAAAACCGTGTGGCTGATTTTTTGGCTACTTTCGGGCTTACTTTGGAGCCAAGGTCCATTTTTCGATGCTCCCCCGCCTGGCTTCGAGGCGGTTTTGGTTCAGGATATATATAGGGTGGCTCAGCCCAGGTTTCTTGCTCCCACAGTCATAGAGTACAGGTTTGTTGTGGGTTGCATGCTTTGTTTTTGGGCCTTCTGTAAACTAGTTTCTGTTGGGTTGTATTTGGTGTTATGGTGACATGCTATTGTGTGGAAAATATGGAAGAGAATGCTTTTTCTCATTATGTTTCTCTACAAGATTACAAGGATATATATACATGATACAAGTGTGTAGGTAGGACAAGGTAGGACGGCTGTAGGACGGCCAGTGTGTAGGTAGGACAAGGTAGGACGGCTGTAGGATGGCTTATTCTTCCAATACTCCCCCTCAAGCTGGATCAAGGAGGTTAATTGATCCAAGCTTGGAGAGCAGACTTTGAAACTGAGGAGAAGCAAGAGACTGTGTGAAAATATCAGCAAGTTGATCTTGGCTTCGAGTGAATGTGGTTTGAATTACCTTAGACTGGACTTGTTCCTGAACGTAGTGACAGTCAACTTCAATGTGTTTGGTACGTTCATGGAACACCGGATTGGAGGCAATATGCATAGCTGCTTGATTGTCACAGAAAAGAGACATAGGTGTGTTGATTGAGAACCCCAAGTCCGAGAGAAGGCCCTTGAGCCAAATGAGTTCACATGCAGTGGAAGCCATGGCTCTATACTCAGCTTCGGCACTTGAGCGAGCAATTACATTTTGTTTTTTGCTCTTCCATGTCACGAGGTTTCCTCCAACCAACGTGTAGTAGCCAGTAGTGGATTTCTATCAATAGCATTCCCTGCCCAGTCAGCATCGGTGTAGACAATGATTTGAGTATGACCATTGTTTTTCATGACGATTCCCCGACCAATGGAGCCTTTGAGGTATCTGAGAATTCTTTTAACAACATTTAAATGAGCTTCAGTGGGTGCATGCATGAATTGGCTTACAAGAGTGACGGCGTGAGTTATATCTGGTCTGGTGATGGTGAGATATATAAGCTTACCCACCAATCGTTGGTAGTAACTGATATCACTGAGAGGTTCTCCTGTCAAGTCCAACTTCAATTTGCTATTAAGACGAGTACGAGTTGGTTTACAATCCATCATCTTCACTTCTTGAAGTAAGTCAATCACATATTTCCTTTGACTCAAAAAAAATCCCTTGTGGGAAGTGGCCAGTTCAATCCCAAGGAAGTATTTTAAAACTCCTAAGTCTTTAATGGCAAATTGTTGATGAAGAGAATGTTTAAAAGTGTGAATCTCATCATTGTTATCACATGTGATGATGATATCATCAACATAGATTAGTACAACTAATTTACCAACTGATCCTATTCGAACAAACAGGGAGGAATCAGCATGACTTCTCTTGAACCCAAAATTTTCAAGTACCGAGCTCAGTTTGGCATACCAGGCACGAGGAGATTGTTTCAAGCCATAGATTGACTTATGAAGCTTGCAAGCCATACCTGAATTCTGTGCTTGTGGATGACCCAGGGGTAGTTGCATGTAGACTTCCTCTTCGAGGTCTCCATGTAAAAAAGCATTTTTTACATCCATTTGGTACAATGGCCATTCATGGTTCACTGCAACAGATAACAAAACCCTTATTGTGCTCATCTTAGCCACAGGAGCAAATGTCTCCTTATAGTCCATTCCAAAAGTTTGAGTAAAACCGCGAGCCACCAATCTTGCCTTGTGTCGTTCAATTGAGCCATCAGAATTAAACTTGATTATATAGACCCACCGACTGCCTACCACCTTCTTGCCTTTGGGAAGTTGAACTACACTCCAGGTTTTATTTTCATTCAAGGCTTTGAGTTCTTCTTCCATGGCTAGCCTCCACACAACTTGACGATTGGCTTCTTGAAAGTTCCTTGGTTCACTTTCATAGGATAGTTTACTGAGGAAGACTGCATGAGAGTGAAAGACTTTGGAGTAATTTACAAACTTGTGAATAGGGTACCTTGCATGGTAAGTTTCATAGTCTTGCAGCCTTGATGGTGGATGTCAATCTCGAGTTGGATTCCTGCGGGGTTGAGCTGAGATCACAATAAGTTCAGCTCCACTCTCTTGTATAGATGTTGTGTTATGGTCATGGGGAACTACTTGTGCTTCTGAGGCTTCAGTGTCGTCTCCAATAAGCAGGTTGTCATTAAGAGTTGCATGAGAGTCCCGGTTGTGAGGTAGTGAATGGACACAGTCACTTGGTTCGACTAGATTTGGCAATGGGAAGAGATCTAGGAAATGCTCCCCCTGACGATTTTGATCTGATGATTTGTTGAAATATGGTTGGTTTTCATCAAACCGTACATCTCTTGAGACAAACATCTTCCTGGAGCATGGATTGTAGCATTTGTACCCTTTTTGGGTGGATGAGTATCCCATGAAAACACACTTGACAGCTTTGGGATCAAGCTTATCTCGGTGATGGGATTGAATATGAACATAACAGGTACATCCAAAGATTCTCAGATGGGAAAGATTAATTTTTTTGTTTTGCATTACCTCAGATGGTGATTTTGTATCCAGAACACGACTAGGCAGTCTGTTGATAAGGTAGGTGGCTGCAAGAACTCCTTGAGACCAAAACCTCTTAGGCACATTCATTTGCAACATTAGCGCCCTGATTTTTTCAAGTAAGTCCCGATTCTTCCTTTCGGCAATTCCATTTTGCTGAGGAGTACCTACACAACTTGTTTGATGTATAATTCCATGGGTGCTTAAATAGTTAGTCATATTTTTGGATGTATATTCAGTGCCATTATCAGACCTTAGTATGTGGATTTGGGACGAAAAATGGTTCATGACAAGATTATGAAAGTCCTTGAAAACATCCATAACTTTACTTTTGAATTTTAGGAGGTACAACCAAGTGGCTCTTGAGAAATCATCAACAAAGATAACGTAGTACCTATAACCATCAAAAGACTCTAGAGGTGCAGGTCCCCAAACATCGGAGTGCACCATTTCAAACAACTTGCTAGTCCTAGACATTGAAGAATTGAATGGGAGTCTAGTAGATTTTGACAAATGACAAATTTCACATACAAGGGAAGATTTGCATAAACTAGGGAACAACGTAGACAACACAGATTCTGAGGGATGGGCTAGGCGTTGATGCCACAACTGATGTTCTAGGTTTGAACTGACTTGGAACCCTTTTGGAACATTGAGGTCCTCTAAAAAATAGTACATCCCATTTAGGTAGTGACCTTCACCAATCAGCTTCTTGGTGGCTAGATCCTGAAAAACAACATTGTGGGGGGAAAAATTGCACGACAGTTTAAGGAGTTTGTAATCCTTCCTACGGACAATAATTGAAAAGGAAAAGATGGAACATATAACGCTGTGGACTCAACAGTTTCTGAGATCAGTTTAACTTTCCCTCTACCTAGAACTGGCACACCTCTACCATTTGCTACAGAAACTAGTGATGGTTTAGTGTGGCTTTCAAAATCGTATGGCTTAGAATATTGATTTGTCATGTGATCCGTGGCACCTGAGTCTATAATCCAAAAATCATGAGAGTGACTAACATTTAGAGCAGTTGAAAGAGCACACATGATACCTGGAATGTCTCATTGAGGTACATGACCAGATTCAGCTAAGAACCCTGCAAACTGTCCAAGAAGAGCAGTTTGACTTTCCCCAGTCGACGTTTCACCTGTGCTTCCTTTTCTGGTTTGAAGGTAGGTTGAGAACTCATTCAACAAGTCAACCGGATTGGCTGTAAAGTTCATCGACCCACCGATGGATGTAGCAGCAGCAGCATTGTACTTGTTTGTATGTGGTCTAGCGTGTGAGCCCTTATGATCTCTTAAAGGCTTGTTCTCAAACCTTGGCTTCAACTCAGGGTGCAATATCCAGCATCGATCTATTAGATGTCCAACATTATTACAATGTAGACACTTCAGATCTGGCCTTTTTCCCTTATATACTTTATCTCCAAATGACTTGTGATTTGTTACAAAAGCTCTAGCCTCAGACACACTAGGTTTTACATCAACATTCATGACTTTTCTGCGTACTTCTTCTCGCTGGATAGTAGTGCAAAAACTTGCAAATGATGGAAGTTCGGGATTCATTAGAATATGGCTTCTAAGATCTTCATATTCAGAACCCAAACTTGCAAGCAAATGAAAGATTTTGTCTTCCTCGGACCTTTTTAACAGTACGGCAGCATTGATAGTGTGTGGTTGATACATTTCTAGTTCGTTCCACATGTTTTTCATGCAACCGAGATGATGAACAAAGGATTTATCACCTTGTTGAAGACTTGCAAGATTCCTCTTAAGCTGGAACACTCGAGCAGCATTGTTTTGATTTCCATACATGTCCTTGACTGCCTTCCAAAGAGCACTAGAGGATTCTGAAAAACTGAAAATTTCAGACAGCTTAGGATCCATGGAGTTGAGGAGCCACGACATGACCAACTGGTCTTTGCACAGCCATGCTTTATACTCCGGCAATGCGACGTCAGGTGCTTCAATATTTCCATTGACGAATCCAAGTTTGGATCTTCCTCCAAGGGCAAGAGATATTGATCTGGACCATGGAAGATAGTTAAACTCATTTAACAACACAGAACACAAACGTTGATTTGGGTTGACTTCAGCTTCTGGAAAACTAGGGCGAGAAGCTGTGAAGCTTTCAGCTTCTGAGCCAAAAAGATTATCTTCTGCCATTATCGAAACGAATGTGCAGAAGAAGAGAAGGGACAACAATGGAGTCAGGCCGGTTAAGGTTCCGGCTCTGATACCATGTGGAAAATATGGAAGAGAATGCTTTTTCTCATTATGTTTCTCTACAAGATTACAAGGATATATATACTTGATACAAGTGTGTAGGTAGGACAAGGTAGGACTGCTATAGGACGGCTAGTGTGTAGGTAGGACAAGGTAGGACGGCTTGACGGTTGTAGGACAGCTTGACGGCTGTAGGACGGCTTATTCTTCCAGTATATTGTTACTTATTTGTGGGTTTTGAATTTGTGGAACAGTAAAGAAATTGGAGGAACTGAATACTCACTAGGAAAATTGACAACTTCTCTAAGTTGGATGCTGCCAAGCATTACTCTGATGCCTTCGTCATCGGTTGTTTTGAATGGTATTTTAGTGTCTCCTACCAACCACAAGCTTAAATTTTATTTTTGTTTTTCATTTGTGATGTTTATGGTTTTCGACTTGTGTATCCAAGGGGGAACAACAGCATAGGCTACTTATCGCTCCATCTGGACGTTACAGGTTCTTCAACATTGCCAAAAGGGTGGGCTAGACATGTGCGATTCAGCTTGACTGTCGTCAATCAACTACAAAGCAGCAAATCAATAACAAATGGTACTTTCCTGTTGCTTAGTTCACATTTGTCCTTCTTCTTGCCTCTTGCATGTCATTCTATAACTTTTACGGGAAAGCTAATTTGTCAAAGGGAACTAGTGGTTGTTGTATGCTTTTACGTACATTTTTTTTTTTAATTCAGTCTCACATTTAATGCAAAGGAATGAGTATCGTAATGTTTACAAATCATTGCCTGAATGCCTTCTCGACGCTTCATTGTACTTTACCATACAAGATACTAAAAGTGGATAAACGAAAGGCAATGTACTAATTTGTTTCTCTTGTTTTTCTGGACCAAAAGGTTAATTAGAATTTGACAGAAGTAGAATGCTAACAATATTTTCCAATATAGGGAGATCTCCTTTGAAAGTCATAGAACTTGCACAATATCTTATTGTTCAGTATGATTTTGTTTTATTCCGGGTCATCTTTTAGGAAACGTTCAAATGGTAATATCTCGGGTTCTGAAGACAATTAGATCATATTCTCTTTCTTTAGTCTCCCTCTGAAAAAACAAGCACTTACGGCTATGTTTCTTTCTATTCCATTTTCTCTACTAAGAGTCTGAGAGTGAACGGCACTGTGGTTTCACTGATTTCGTTCCCAGTAATTTGGAGTTGCATTTCTTCCGCTGACAAATACCTGCAGATTTTGACGTTCAGTTGTGCCAAGTAAACTTTTGTATTCTGAAAATTACACGCCTGCATGTCTGTTTGGTTGGTTTAGATCTTGGAAAATGAAAACGGTGTCGACTTCTTGTCCGCCCTTATATTTTTATTGTTCTGTGCAATAAAAATTTGTCACTTCTTAAAAAAAAGAAAAAAAATGAAAAGGGTGTGTAATTAAAATGGTGTAATTGGAGGTCGAGATGCTGGATATCTAGCCAAAGATGGGATCTTGTTTTTATGGCAGTATATTGAGGTTGCTTACTGTTTGCCAGTGCATTTGATATCACAAATCATATCTGCAGTGCGGTTGATAGTGTACCTGCTTTTATTTAGTATATTAGATCACTTGGCCAATAAGATTTTTCATGTCTAAAAAGATTATTAGCATTGAAACAACAATTTTTTTCGAATTTAGTTGAAGTTATGGCAATCAAGTATTTACTTTCTATTTAGTGAATGCTCCAGTCTTCCGACTGACAAAACCTATTTAGGATACAGTCTTGATACCGACTAGGGTACTCTGGCTTCAAATGTTAGCTAAAGGCGAACACTTTCTACAATGTACTTGGGTTTGCTTTACACATCATCCTTTTAGGAATGTAATTATGGGCAATGTGTGTATGTGTTAAGTTGTTGAAATAAGTAGTTAAAATTGATAGTTAATCTGGAACCTCAGATCTCTTTCTTCGGCCCTGGATTGAAACAGTTCAAATTGGATTGTTTTGATCTTGAGACTGCTCGCCGTGGAAGTCTTTTGTTCTTGGATCTAATCATTTGGGACTAACTGGTAATTTCCGTTACTTATAAGTACTCTGTGCAATGACTATCCTTATTTTTTATTTGAGTATTTCTATATCATTTAGAGATTGCTATGCTTCATGAGTGTATTGTGATCACTAATATTTGGACTTTGCGGATACTGGACATGTGTTCAAGAAAAAGGAAAGAGAATCGGGCTTTGCATCTTTAATTCCTCGGTTATAGGATTGTTTTAGTTTCAGATGTTTGTTGTAAGCTAAACACTGAGCATGTAATCTTCTTTTCTGTTTGTATCTCCTTATATCTAGGGTTTCTCAAACTCTTGTTGTTATCCTGATATGAATATAAATACATGCATCCCATGTTGAACTGGGTATGCAGTTTTGAGTGAAAACCCTACGAGAGTAAAACTATTTTTTACAGACTTAACTAGTATGAACTATGAAATTAATTCTCTAAAAGCATAATTTTTTGTTTTTCTCGCATATACCTTTAGGTCTCGTTTAGCAAGTCGTATAAGAGACCGAATAGGTCTAATAATACGGACTCAGTCATTTGGCACCCTCTCGTATTAAATTGGACCGGGCTAATTTAATCTAACCCACTTATTTTATTTGGCATACACCCTCTTGCTAAAGGAGTAGGATTCTTTCCCCTCATATTCACATCTCATTTCCTCCCCTCCTCTCACATATTGTTTTTTATCTTATTGTCTCTATATAAAAAAAAAATTAATATAAGATGTTGACGTGGCTAAATCGTAACCGTTCAAATAAGAGATAAGGAAAAGAGAGAGAGATTATGAGGGAAGAGAATCTTCCCTCCTTAATAAAACCTTCCAAAAGAGCTTATAATTAGTAGGGTCTCATTCCTCTCTCTTGCGAACTAAGCTTTCTCTCGCCTTTTCTCGTTGTCACCGTTCTCTCTGTCTCCTCTCGACGACTATGTTCTCCCCATCTCCTTTTGTGGATTATGTTCTCCTCGTCTCGCACTCTGTTCTCCCAACCTCCTCTCACTGGCTCTGTTTTCCCTGTCACCTTCCAGGCTCCAGCGTCTTTTCCATGTACTCTACAAGACCCTCGCACTGCTCCTCTCCATTTCTCTGCAACATCATAAGGTTGGAGGGGAAGAGAGATTAAGATCAATTACAAACTAGTCGAAAACAGTAAGTGCATATCACGATGTCTTTTCATAGTGTTTAACGAGTTTCATGGTGTCAGTTAGTGATTTTTCAGTATTTGTCAGAATTTAAATTTTTTTAGGTTAAAATGTTCATAAAATTAAATTGGAATATTCTACATAATTTTTTTATTTAAAAAAAGTTACTTTAAGAAAAAAATTAGTCTAAATTCATTCTTTAATAATCTGGGACTAAAATTTTAGGCCAGAAGGGTTGGAGCAGAAAAATTGTTTCTGGGTTAAAACCTAAATTTTATGGGCTAACAATTTTAGGTTTTAGGCCAAGGGTTGGAGATGGTCTAAGGGAGTATGATTCTTTACCCTCCTATTCTCATCCCAGTTCCTCCCCTCCTCTTACACTTTGCTTTTCGATCTTATTGTCTCTATATAAAAAAAATCAATATAAGATTTGACGTGACGTAATTGATGATACATATGAAAGATAAAATGACATTATTTATGCATCACTCATGTTGTGAGATGTGGTTGGAACTTCAATGTTTAGATTGGAATTCTGGAAATGTGGGTGGTTGGAAATGATCTTTTGTGTAATTGAATCTATTCATTATGAAATCAGTTCCAGGCGAGCCATGTGTGCACATTAGAATAGGATATCGGCAGGATAAATTGTCGCTGTGGGTGATTTGGGCTGAAGATCAATGAATTAGATAAGATGACTAGCAAAGGGGATTTATGAACTTGGGATATTACTTTGTATAATAGAACATTCGAACCACCACTGCACTGGTAAAATGTAAGGTATGTGACATGCACCCGCGTGTCACATATTCGAACCACCACTTTGTATAATAGATTAGATGTGAGAATAGAAAGTTTATTCATCTATTTATTATAAAATTGTAAAGAATTCCTGATTTGTTTAAGAATTATGAGTTATTTTTATAAGAATAATTTATTTTTCAGTCCGTTCAATTTTCTTTTATTTATTTAGTTTTTAACTTACACTCCAGATTCGGGTTCGATTTCTTCCACCGACCCGGTTCGGGGCATGACGGCTATCTTTCGTTTGCTTCTTATTTTAAAGATACTATTTGAAAAGTATTTGGGTTTCTAGATAATAACATAATTAACATTGAATTTATACTTATACAAAACACAATATGAATATTACAGTCATTAGTTCGATATTGCATCAAACGCCCGACTAATTTAGTTAATACTATCCGATGACTATTTATTCTATCCGACTGAAATAGTCAGTACAATTTAAGTTGCCAAATAGTTCTACAAATAAAAAGCAAATACAATTGCCACTTATTGTTACGGTAATGTAGTATCTCTCTTTACCGTAAATGAGAGGTTTTATATTCGATTCTGACCAAAGTTGAATTTAAATCTCATTATTACTAACCTATTGTTTGCCCACTCCTTTACAACTTAACATAGATAAAGTAAAAAAAAATACAATTGGGGCACCACCTGAAAAAAGGTAAAGAAATTTCGTTGCAAATCATCATTTTAGATTCGGACCGAATATTTCTTTGCTTCCTTGTGACTAAAAATAGTGGTGAATCTAGTGATCCTAATAACGGAAGGGAATCCTAATGCATCAAATTAAAAAATTTATATTATTAAAATTTGATCAAACGGTTATAGACGGAAATCATTTTAAAAGTTATAATAACTTCAGATATTAAATTAAATTTTGATGGTCCGTATTCCTGATTTGATGAATTAGAAGGAAGGAATCTGAAGAGTCTCTTTCCCATAATATAACAATCAGGACCTGGATCCTCTCTAAGGCAAACCTTCGGAATCCTGCTGAGTGAGAAACACGGGATGTTGAATTTCAATCCAACGGCTACAAACATAAAATTCCTCTTAAAATTATAATAATTGTAACCGTTCGATCGAAATTCAACCGTCTTCATCGCGCAACAGGATCCGAGGGTTTACCTCGGAGAGGATCTAGTTCCTAACAATCATAAGCAACGACCCAACTGGTTCGAGCGCTTTTTTCTCACCCCCTGCAAAGTGAAGAAAAAGTGGTGTGAGCTACCGTCAACTCCTCGTCTTTCTCCCCCTGAATCCACTTTTACCATGACTGAGTTGCAGTTTGGCTCCGAGTTGGAGTTACCGGAATCGTCCAGGGGAAGGTACGTCTCTCGATCAAACTCTCTGATTCTCTTGTTTCAACTTTAAAGCTTAGACCTGTAAACTTCTGGGTTTTCTTGTCTTTACACCCAGCACAAAGAAAAAGCATAAAAAAAATCAGGAGGTGCTTTTGTGCTGGAGTTTTCCCAGCCATGGCTGGTACAAGCTCAACGTCGACGGAAGTTACCGCTCGGGTTGTATAGCAGGCGGCGGCGTGATCAGAAATCAAGACGGAGAATGGCTGACTGGGTTTGCTGAAAATCTGGGAACGGGCAAGAAACCCATTGAGGCTGAGGTCTGGGCATTGTACAGAGGCCTGGAGCTTGCCTGGAATTATGGGTGGTACCCAATTGAGGTGGAAACCGACTCAGCCATGGCGGTGACGCTTGTGTTCAGCCCGGTTCAGTTGTACCCGAAACACCCTCAGTTTAATTTGATTCATAAGTCCCTGAATCAGATTAGGAATAGCGAAAATCTGATTAGGAATTGCCTGAATCTACTTAACCAAATCCAAAACTACTCCCTGCAGCATGTGTACCGGCAAAAAAACAGCGTGGCTGATTTTTTGGCCAATTTTGGGCTGACATTGGGGTTGGGTTGCCATTATTTCGATGCTCCGCCGCCTGGCTGCGAGGCGGTTCTGGTCCAGGATATCTGTAGGGTGGCTAAGCCCAGGTCTCTTCTTCCCACAGTTATAGAATTCAGGTATGTTGCGGGTTGCATACTTATGTTTTTAGTTTCTGTTGTGTGGTATTTGGTGTTACGGTGACATGTTATTGTTGCTTTGAGTTTGTAGAGGAGTAAAGAAATTGGAGGAACTGGATATTCACAAGGATGATGCTGCATCTTTGACATTCACATGGAAAATTGACAACTTCTCTCAGTTAAATGCCGTCAAGCATTACTCTGGTGTCTTCGTCGTCGGTTGTTTTGAATGGTATATTGTTGTCTCGTACCATCCACAAGCTTAAAATTTTTCTTTTTGCATTGTTATATTTAGGGTTTTCCACTTGTCTTGGTTGGTTCTATCAGGCGAATCCTTATGTATCCGAGGGGGAAGAACGCCGTAGGCTCCTTGTCGGTCTATCTGGATGTTACTGGTTCTTCAACATTACCAAAAGGGTGGGCTAGATATGCGCAATTCAGCTTGAGTGTTGTCAATCAACTTCAAAGCAGCAAGTCGATAACAAAGGGTACTTTGTTGTTATGTTCCTGTTGCTTATTTCACATTCATCCTTGTTTTTGTCATTTGCCATGTTAGTTTGTAAATTTTAGGGTATAGGCAACAAGTTGTTGCTGTATCCTGTCATGGAGGGTTTTTTTTTATTTTTTATTTTTTGTCTCACGCTTACTTTCAATGCCCGACTGCCTTCTTGACATTTTATTGAACTTTACTATGCAAGATACTGAAAGTAGATAAACGAAAGGCAATATGCAAATTCGTATCTCTGTTTCAAAAGATTAATTAGGTTTAGAACGGAAGTAGAATGCTAACAATACGTTTCACCATATGGAGATCTCCTTTGAAGAAAATAACTTGCGGAATATGTAGTTGTTCAATAATATGTTTGCTTTATTCTGGGTCGCCTTTTAGGAAACATTCAAATGGTAATTTCTCCGGGACCTGAAGACATGGTGTAACTGAAGGTTGAGATGCTGGATATCTTTCATCTACCAAAGATGGGGTCTTGTTTTTATGGCAGTATATTGGGGATCCTAACTGTTTGCCAGTGCATCTTGCATAGCAAAACATACGTTATCTGCAGTACGGTTGATAGTTTACCTGCTATTAATTAGTATATTAGATCACATGGGCACAGTAATACAACTTTTCATGTCTAAAAAGGTGATTACCGTTGAAAGCATAACCTTTCAAATTTTGCTTTAAGTTAATACCTTCTGTTTAGTAAATACTCGCGTGATAAAACCATTTAGTTTAAGGTAAGGATGGTTAGATTTTCATCCTTGTAGAATATGATTTTTTTTTCATCGAAATCAAGTTTTACAATGAGTTTTGACTTTGGTCCTTTGTTTAGGTACATTACTATGTGTTACTAAATCAATATTGAATCTAACACCCCGATTTGGGTAGTCTGGCCTCAAATGTTAGCTAAAGGCGCGGCGAGCAATTCTGTTGTGTGCCTGGGTTTGCTATGCACAACGTTCTTTTTATGGGCAATCTGTGTGTTTGTTAAGCAGTTGAAATAAGTAGCTAAAATAGATAGTTAATTTCTGGACCTTCAAATCTCTTTCTTTGGTCGGGATTGAAACGATTGAAATTGGATTGTTTTGATCTTGAGTCTTACGTTTGTGGACTGTGGAAGTCTTTTATTCCTGGATCAAATGATCTAGGACTGTTTGTTTCCGCTAGTTATTTTAGTACTCTGCATAACGAGCTACCTGTTATTTTTATTTGTATATTAGAAATTGTTATGCTTGTATTGTTTGTGATCATGAATATTTGGACTTTGCAGATACTGGACACGTGTTCACTAAAAATGAAAGCGAAAGGGGCTTCGCCTCCTTAATTCCTCTAAGGGAGTTTCACAACCACCGCGAAGGATATCTTGTGAATGACATATGTATCATCGAGGCAAAGCTTGCAGTGCATAAGTCTGAAATTAAGCTTTTCGGATCCCTCAGATAAAACCATTAAGGAGCAGCAGATTAGCCCACAAGTTCTGAAGAGTTGCCTACCGTTGGATGCACCAAGTTCCGAGCAGGTTTGCACCGAGCCTACTGATAGCCCTGCTAACCCTCCCGTAGTCAAGGAACTCAGAGGATGATGTGCCGTCCCACCATCCGGTGATCTAGGTTACGGTAGGGGTTAACCTTATTTTAGGATTATTGACGTGCTCGTCAAGCTTGTCTATGTAGGATATTCAAAGTTGTATTATAAATTAGGAGTTTGCATAAAAAAAACAACTAAATTAGGTCGTCGTAACCTTTTATATTATGTTTGGATGGAGGAAATACATTTCCAATTTTATCAAGTGTGTGCGTTAGGCTAAGCCGTATACAATTGCATAGCAGTGATTTGATATTGAACTTGTATTCATCGAAGTTAAACATAACATCTCACATTTATAAGTTGAGAGCAATATGATTGCAACAGCTTATTCGGCCCCCAAAATAGTAGCGTCGACTCCACTTGCACCCCAATCTTCACTGCTGTTAGGAATTTATACAAATATAAGATAAATTCGATATAGTGCATACTTTGCAGAATTAACGAATTTTGGATTGCCGTTTCGTTCCTACAAACCACGAAGGAGAGTGTCATTCAAGGGAGGATTCGGTTGCATCTAGCCCCGTTAGATTGCCTATGTACCTTGTGCCCATGCGCAGGGATCAAACCACAATAGTTCTTAGTAGCCTGCTAATCCCAAGGCCAAGGTGATACCCTAAAGGCTAAACTAAGAGAGAAAAAGATTACTAAGAGCTCTAAAGCTAAGAGAATTATTTTTGTTGGTGTCTTTTCCTTTCCCAAAGCCCTCTTTATATAGTGGCTAGGAGGGAAGAGAGAAAGGGAAATGGTCAATGTGGGACAAATACCGCATATCGATAACACACCCTATACTGGGGGTATAAATCCCACATCTCCCACTCACCCACATAGGGTGTTGGAATCATTTCAATTAGCTCATCTAATTCTCATCCATTATTGTTTACCTCCTCATACAGGATATGGGACGCGCGACCTTGCGAGAATGAACGTACACATCTATGATTGCTGTCATTAAGCTATCACCAAACTTAACAAGAGTGCATCACTCGGAAGTTCATCGCTTTATACCCTAAACAGTTCATCATACACCAAACTTGAAATTCTTTATCTGTCGTTACGATATAAAAAGAAATGTCATGTTCCACAAATATCATGTATCCATGTCTTACGTTTGACAACTAATATCAAGTAGACGTTGGCCAGCTAATGAATTACATGGCATAGTGTAGTCTTTAAACTATCTTCCCTACGCTCTCATGTCAGCCTAATTTGGTTTAACTGCTTGCTTAGACACGCCTCTTAGGACACTTACTAACTTGACTGTCTTAGATAAACGTGCTAAAGTAGCGATCATCAAACCTCCTCTTTTTGACATAGACTTTAGTTCAAAGGTTATAAGGGTAGGATCACATAGATTTAGTGGCTCACACAATGACTTGAAGCAGGGATCAATTTGTCGCTCTCACTGTCGGCCACAACTAGCACATACAGTATGAAATGTATGCTATGGTGTACTCTCAATTTAATGAGTGTGTCACATGTCCATTGGACATATACCATACGGATCTTAGTCTAAGCTCTACACAAACGCCTAACTTGAGCATCTAGCCTAGTCACCCTTCTCGATGCCTACCTAGTTACTCACATTCGGCTTGACAAGCTTTAACATGGATTTCAAATGGAAAAATCTCCATGTTCGACCTTTGCTAGGTCTCATTTTAGACACTTCTAGTGTATACATTTCATACACATGTCTGGTCTCGCACTCAAATGTGTTTCAAACATATATGTCTCATCCTGCTCACCACCTCAGCGCCAGGGCGAATCGTTTCGTGTGAGTGAAATTGATTCTAGCTTGGTGACACTCAAAAAAAAAAAATGTGCATCATAACGTTCTTTGAAAAATGTTAATTCTAATGAGTCTCTTGTAGCTTTTATACGTAGGAGTGTGACATATCACCACTATCGCTAGGGCTACATCTTTTAGACTCCTCACCTTGTGCAATTGCAAGTAATCATGAACAAATTTGGGTTCCCTCCAACTTAGGGACTTCTTTTGCATAAATCAGAGCAGATTCACATAAAATCTCTCTTGTTAATGCAGAATACCTCCAAAATAATTCCATAAGGAGCACCTATGTTTTTCAAAAGTAGATGGGTTCTTTCAATTCCATATAAGGTAAATGTAAGTATATTTTCATCACTCTATTGAGAAAATATTTCAACCATGAGTAAACATGGAATTACTTGTACCTTGAACAATCATTTTTTCCATGAAAGATCTTATGTCAACTCTATGATGATATAAGAACCAAAATGATGTCGAAAATCCTTTTACTGCTCTAAGTTTAGCAATGACTTATGATTTCTTCAAAATGGCTTGGTTTGGACAATCATCCACTTCTTGGATAGACTAAGCATCAATGCTTTGTGAATAGCTGGTGTACACTATTTTATCACAAGGACTGATGAGTTTATATATAAACACCTCCAAAAATGGTATTTATATTATTTCTTATCCACACAATTGGTTCATACATGCCGCCTTACAATTGGTGCACGTATGATTTCTCTTATCGTCTAGATGCACATTTTAAGACAATGGTTAACACTATTCCTCATTTCATATTCTAGGAAACTTTGATCTAGAATCACACGGCACTCTATCTTTTCTAAGATGTCTTGAGTTTCAGTATAGCCCAGATGGCAACCGTAGAGCTTCTATACGTTAATATTTAGCAAATCAACTAAGAATCATCTAAGAGTATCACTGAAACTTCTCTAGCATGTCAAAAATGCTGTGTCTCACACCACAATTATGGAGACAATCTATTTTTCAATAAAGAAATCAATTGTCAGCACTCATGGAAAGACAAGAACACCTTGGGCTCTAAGTCTTAAAGTACAACAACAACGGCTAGAAGGACTTCCAAATGTCAATACAAATAAGGACACTTGTCTAGAATCCAATAGTGTGTGAACCCAATTCTCTTTTCGGATTGAGAATTTTTCACTTAGGTTAGGTCATGGAAAAAAATGAGTAGCATCTGACCCTACCTTGGGAAGACATCTCATACTTTCCATCTCCTATTGAAAAATCATTTCTTTTAAGGGAAAAAAAAAAAATTCAATTTCGCTTGTTAGTGAAAGATTTGTTTGTGAGGACCATCTCTTTTAGTCATTTAACAAAGCAGAGTAACATTCATCAACATCTAGGGAGGATGTCTTTAAGACCTAATAGCCTTTTCACAATGTATTTGGAGGGACTAATCAATCTTCTACCTTCAACTTTTTCCTTACGATCCCCATAGACGTGGTAGGATTTGGAGGGACTAATCAATCTTCTACCTTCAACTTGGACAAATTGCAAGTTGGAATCCTTTTCTTAATTCAACTACCATTAAATCTAGTTAGTTAGTTATCCAATCCTAGATACTGAACGAGGCCTGATGGGACTGGATTCAATAAGTTACTATATTCATAGTATGTTGGAGTAAGAAATGAATGCCAACTTCTAAATTTTGTCTAAGTTGAAAGGTAGAAGATGGAAGGGATTGCAAGGGATAAGTTTCCTTCATTACTAATCCATTCAATTGCTTAAAACATGTACGAAATTTAGAATGTGGCCTTCATTTCTTACTTTGACATCCCTTAATTATCTAGCAAGTTATGCAATCTAATCCAATCCTACGCTCCAAACAGGGCCTTATAATTTGACTTTGTCATGTGTTATGGTTTTGAATTTGGACTTTGCATTGTTGGGTTTAGTCAGGCAAATCCTTTTGTATCCAAGGGGAAACAATGTAGACTTCCTATCGGTGTATTTGGTTGTTGCAGAGTCTTCAAAATTGCCATCAGGGTGGTCTAGATATGCTGCTTTTCACTTCAAAAACATTGGGTACTTTTGTTTTTCTGTTCCTGTTTTTCACTTCACATTTGTTTTCTTGTTATCCTATCAATTCTATGGCAGAAATTATTGTTTAAATTATATGAAGCTAGTTATTGTTGCATCATTATATGCACATTTTGTTATGATTCGTATTCATTTATATGCTTTCTGCAAAGGAATGACTTTCTGACTGCAAATCCATGCCCGACCACTTTCTCTCTACTTATTTGAATTTTAACAATACAAGGTAGGAGCAAAGACAACTTTGATTAGACAGGAAGTAGACTGGTAGCAGTATGCCATCACTTATTTCCATATCTCTTTGTTCTGAACCATTTTATTGCTTTCTATTTAACTACATTCATGAGTTGGAGTATTGTTAAATGTTTCGACCTTGAATCTGAACTTTCCATAACTGCTTATGTAGTTTAGTTATTTTAACCACTTACTAGAGCCGAATTGTGGTTGAGCGTATGTTTTTTATTTATTACGTAGTACTGAACTGTGTTTATTATTAATATTTTTTAAATTTCTTTTAATTTTTATCTTTGATGTTTTGATTTTGCAGACACAGAGCATGTGTTTGATAAAAGGGGAATTGACTGGGGCTTCACGTCGGTAATTCCTCTAAGTGAGTTTTGTGACAGTAGTAAAGGGTATCTTGTGAATGATATTTGTATCATTAGGGCCAAAGTTGCTGTCCCTAAGGCTGAAATTAAGATCTTAGAACACAATGCAAGTAGTTCTGCACCTACTAAGCACTTAGACAAAAAACGTGGAGTGCTGGATTACGTGCTGGCCATCAACGACCTTATTTATGTTCCTTCTCGCCCTCCCATAGTCAAGGAACCTGAGTACATGTCTTCCCCACCAGCTGCAGAGCTCGAGGATTTTAGGGGTTTAGGGAAAATAGAGAAAGCTTTCGTTCCTCTGCTAGATGAGGTTTGTTCGTGGCATCCTTCGCTGATTGAATGCCAACGCAAGAGAAGTCGCATGTTTACTGAGTGGGCATTCACAGCTTTGGGCCGGCTATTACAATTTATGAAGACGAAAAAGGTGAAGAACATGACAGACGATGCATGTGAGCAACTGAAACTTTTGTGGGAGGAGCTTGAGGCCTTCAAATTTGACTTGGCTTGGCTGGCGCCTAGTGTTGAAAGGGCTTTGGACATGAACAAGATTGTGGAAAGTGCAGGGAGGTTGAAAAGGTTGAGAAAGGACGTGGACGCTTTACAGACGCAAACGAAGAGGTTGAGGACTGAGCTAGCTGTTGAGGAGGCAAATCTTGAGGCAGCAGTAAGAGATTTAAACAAGACTGAAGAAGGTTTGGACGACGTAGACATCAACGGTGAGCTAGGTTACTGTAGGGGTTAGCCTTATTTGAGGATTCTCTTTTGACGTGCTCCTCAAGTTTGTTTATGTAGGATTTTCAAGTTGTATGAATAAACAAATCAACTTGGATGTCCCGACGTGCTATCACAATGTCTAGATTGGCCGACTGAGCAAGGAACCTTCCCTCGGCCCGGGTTCCGGGTTCTTTCTCTACCTTGGAGCAAGGCTTTTAATAAACAACCAACTGACATGAAGTTAGTGGAAGTGAAGATTAGATGAAAAAGTGAAAGAAATCGTGAAAAAAGGATATAAAATTAAGTTAATTGCAAAAAGGTAAACTAAATTAAGAACAAGTGCAAAGAGACACATGTGCTTGACAATTTGTGTATTTGATGAGAATAATATAGGCTAGGGCATTATGCTGCTCCTATCATAAGAATTGAAGAGAATATAGGATGACAATTTGTGTATTTGATCCTTCTCCCTTCTTCGCAACTTGTACTTATAGGGCACAGAAGAGTCCCACCATATGGATGTTCATTAATTGGCATGTGATTACGACAATCAATGGTAATCTCCCTCAATTGGTGATAGTTGACATTGACAAGCCTTGATTAAGTTCATCATCTTAAATTAAGAAATGGGGTGTTAATTTAGATTGGGCCTCTTAGAACCAATATGCAGAGCCTCATTTTATTTAATAGGAATACACCGGTCATACTTTAAAACGGTATTTTTTTTTGTTTCTTTTACGTTTGGATTAGAAAGTTTTAAAGAGGTCTATAATTTCTTAGGGTCATGTGCGATCGCCTACCCTGTACATCCTATTGGCTGGAACTGATTTTAATTCCGAGAAAAATGATTCAAATCGCTTAAATTGTGAGCAGTGGCAGAACCACATAGAGCCTAGCATTGGCCTAGGCATATCCTGGAATTTCAGCCCTTTGTATGTGCTTAATTTCTGCAGAAATTTGTGGAAATGCTCATGTGCCTCATTGGTTAGTGGGTTTTTGCAATTCTAAGTGTCCACGGTTCGAGACTTGCTGGTACGTCAACATTTTTCAGTTTTTTTTTTTTTTCTTTTTTTTTTTTAAAATAAAAATACCCTTATAATTTGCTTTATTTTTTACCATATTAAAACTAGGGTGAACTGTCAATTGATATAAAACAAAGGTTTATACAGTCTAGAGCAGAATCTTATTTTAAGTAACAACCTTAATTTTTTGTTCGAATTTATTGTGTTAATCGTTTTTAATCAAAACTGGTTACAAGTTTTGATTTATTATATAATCATTTCAATACTAGGTTTTTCATACAAAATTCAAAGCTCCACCATTCTTGTTTGATTAAGATTTTCCATGCCAATAGAAAAAAATCAAACTTTTAATTTTTCTCCCGTTAATTATAGGGAAGTGTTATTGGCATTTCAAAAATTTCATTCTACACTCCTAACAAGTATTTTTTCTTTCTTTCTAAATATAGAAAGTTTGGAGTGTAAAATGAGATTTTTGGAGTGCCAATAACAATTTCCTAATTATATTGCAATCTTTCGTATGGCTTAAAGGCCCTCTGAATCTAGTTTTCTGGCTTTGGCACTGATTGTAAGTATATTTAATTATTATGATAAAATATGATATTTCTTTAACTTTTGAGTTAGATTGCTAGATTAAAGATTATAATTAATTAGACTAGAGATTCGGGCACAAACATATTCTCGTATGTGATTTTTTTTTTTTTTTTTTTTTTGAAAAGCAACGATAGATTTCATTCAAAAGAATAAGGTTTGAGATTACATTACAAGCACATAAGGGCAAGAGCACCCCCTACAACTCACAACTTAGCCCTATCAATGACCTACAAAATGATCGGCCCAAAGGTCTACAAGTTCCTCAAACCAAGACTGAGAGATCAAATCTTGCAGAGCAAATTTTGTTAGGCAATGGGCCAAATCATTAGCCTGACGACGAACATGGGCAGTAGTAACTCTAGTGATCCTCGACATGAAAGTTTTGGCATTCTCAATGACAGGTCCAATAAAAGACGTGTTCGAAGATTACCCCTGCAAAGCAGTCGTGATTTAGAGCGAATCACACTCTAAAATAGAATTACAAAAATCCCTTTCAACTATCATCGCCAAACCCTCACAAGTTGCTAGAGCCTCCGTATGAGCCGGAGAGAAAACATTCTCAAATCGAGCCACTCTAGTAGTCACAAAGAGGCACAAAGCATCCTTCGCGATAACACCAACCCCACCCTTTTTCCACTCTGAATCCAAGAGCCATCCACGTTAATTTTAAAATGGCATGCCGGAGGAGCAACCCACCGAGCCCCTTGTGGAGAAGAAATAGTAGCAATAGAAACAGAAGATTGAGCCCCAAGGAAATCAGACAGCCAACCTAGGGATTTCCTTGTAATTAAGGCAGGACCCTCGATGTTCCCCTTCCATAGTTTGCAATTTCTAAACCCCCCTCCCAAGATTGCCTACCAAATTATAAGACATAAATCAAAGTCTGCTTGCTTCAGCGATGAGGTCTCAATATTACGGCCTTTAAGAGGAAGCCCCAAGGGGGAAGTAATGCAAATACAAGCAGTGAACAGGGCAATCTCTGAAAAGGTGAATAGTAGATTCCCTCGAAGCACCACACAACAACACAAGTGTCCTCCACCCTTAAACGTCTTCAGATCAAATTACCGCATGTAGGTATAATATTTCAACACACCTTCCATGCGTAGACTTTGACTTTTTTTTTGTTGGGCGGGGGAGGGGGGGGTGAAGGGGACAAAAGCAACCTAAATACAAGTCCATAATTTGTTTAAAGGGTTGGGTCCAGAGGATAAAGCAAGGCTCCTACATTTGTCACTAACCCAAGCAAGGGCCACATGATAACCTCTCTTAACCAAGAAGACGCCATTCCTAACAAAATGCCAAACCAAATGATCCTTTGGCTTTCAAAAGTTCAGCAGCAAAGAACAAATAAGATCAGCTTTCGATACGAAGAAGAGGGATCTGAGTATAGCAATGTTCCACAGATGAGCATTATCCTCAATTAGCTCACTAACTAAAGACAAATCACAATATGCAGGCTTAAGAGAGAAGATCTGAAATGAGGATTGTTAGGGGATCCAATGATCCTCCCAAATGCGAATATCATCTCCAGACCCCACTTGCCATCTTGAACCCCTTATCAGGACTTCCCGGGCCGAACAAATGCTCATCCAGCAGTAAGAGGCCCCTGCTTTTACATTAACATCCAAAAAGGTGGAAGTTGGGAAATACTTAGCTTTTAAGATTAAAGCAACCAATGAGTTAGGCTCCTGCAAAATTCGCCACCCTTGCCTTGCCAAAAGGGGCCAAATTGAAAGCATACATATTCCTAAAGCCCAACCCATCATCGCACTTAGGAAGACAAAGGCGATCCCAACTAAGCCAATGGATCTTCATTCCCTCATCAGACCCCCTCTTTCCACCAAAACCTAGCCACCAAACGGTTAAGGTCATTGTATAAATACCTAGGTAGAAAGAAATAGTTCATGACGTACAGTGGGATAGCTTGGGCAGCAACTTTGACAAGGAGCTCCCAGCCCACCACACTAAGAAGCTTCCCCTTCCAACTTTGAAGTCTCTTCCAAAGCTGCTCCTTAATATAAGCAAAGCACTCACCTTTGTTCCTACTAACAAGAGTGGGCATGTCAAGATGATTTTCATGTCGATCAACACAAGTCACCCCCGTCTGCAAAGCGAACTTCTCCTGAAGATTGCGCTTCACATTTTTGCTGAAACATACTAAACTTTTTAAAAAGTTAACAACCTAGCTCGAAGCCATTTCATTCTCGCGCAGGATTGACAAAATTAGATCACAATCCTTCCGAGATGCCCTTGTAAAGAGTAAGCAATCGTCAGCAAATAAAAGATGGGTAACGGGGGGCACTGCCGCAGATTAATACTCCTTTGAGCCCACCTTCACTTTCCTGCTTAGTGATAAAAGCCGATAAGCCCTCGACACAAAACAAAAAGAGATAAGGGGAGAGAGGATCCCTTGCTGAAGCCCCCAAGGTTGGGTGAGTATAGCTACTCGTTGATCCATTGATAATGATCAAGTATGTGACAGAGTTAACAAAACACATAATAAGATCGATCCATCGCCATGGAAAACCAAATATGACCAGCATGGCCTCCAAATAACCCTACTCAATCTGGTCGTAAGCTTTACTCACGTCAAGTTTGAGTGAAATGAAGCCCTTTTTTGCCCTTTTTTGGTGACTAAGACAATTTGCCACGTCATTAGCAACAATAATATTATCAGAGATAAGTTGACCTGGGACAAAAGCACTCTGGTACTAAGAGATCAGGTTAGGCATGATGAGCTGCAGCCGGTTCTTAAGCACCTTCACAACGATCTTGTATAGGACATTAGACAAACTAATAGGCTGCAAATGACCCATTTCCTTAGGCTTGTTGACCTTCAAGATCAGTGTAACGTGGGTGAAGTTAATCTTCTTTACAATTTTGGAACTTGCTAGTGTGGAATTGAATATTTTGGAAATTGCTTAATTTTTGGATTCGTTTGGAAGTATTTTTAAAATGACTGAAATTTTGAAAATGCTTTAGTGAAAATGAAAATGTTTTTTGAACTAATCTTTAATAAAAAAGCAAGTGAATCGTGGAAAAATACTTGAAGTATTTCTTGCAATTGCAATGTGTGCTTATTGCAGGAAGTACTTTAAGCGCTTTTACAATTTAAAAATATTTTCTTTAAACACATTTTTAATCATTTTAAAAGTACTTCCAAAGAATCATAATATTTGAAAATGAAGGCACACCGAGCAATTCATGTGGCTCTAAACGATGTCGTGTCACCATTTACGTTTGGTCATCTACAAATATCGGGTGCGCCAGCCGAAAAGCTTCTGGAGTCTTCTAAACCCTCAAGAACCCAATTGGTGCTCTGACGGAAACACCCTCCGAAAAACGGTTAAAATATTCCCATCCAAAAGGATACTTTCGTCAACCAGAAAATCCCACCGGTGTCTCTCTGTTTTCCTTTCTCTCCAAGCACAAGAGATTCTCTCACTTCCCTTCACAAACCCCTCCCCATACGAGGCCACCGCAGTCTCTCTCTCGCTCTAGGTTTCCAAATTTTGGTTCCCATTTTGCCCCTCGAATTCTTCAGCCATGTTGGTGTCTAGGGTTTTAGCTCGGGCCTCGAGGACCCTCCCCAGGAGCACAATGCTCTTGGCGGCTCCGCAGAATCATCACTTGCCAATCCTCTCCAATCAGTCCCAAGCTTTGATCCACGATTTTTCCTCTAAGGTGCCACAAATTCCCTCTTTTTTCTTCAATTTTTTGTCACTAGGGTTTTGCTAGGGTTTTAGGTTTTCTGCAAATTTCACCAATTTAATCTGCTTTTTTGGATCCAATTCCCGTTCTCTTACTAACTAGCGCTAGGATTTTGCTAGGGTTTTATGAAATCATTGTTCTTACTTTTTATCTCTGTTTGATTATTGGATTCAAATTTTATTTTTGTATTTAGTGAATATTGGGTTCTGATATATAGTTTCAATTTTTTTTTATATGAGAAATTAATGTAGCGTATTTTTGCTAGTGGATTTGAAATATTGATGAATTCATTGGTTCTGTAGGCACTAAATAATATATTTTTACTCCAAATGATATATAAAATATCATATGTATGCATGTCCGTGTGATCTATGAAGCATGGATACGAATACGGATATGGTGATACGTAAAATCTCTAAAAACTAGGATACGATACGTCATGGATATGACAATAAAAATATGTAATTTAAAACATATTTTAACGTGAAAACATCTGAATTCAAGTTAATTCAAGTGTGAGAGTTATATCACTTATTTCAATTAGAGGCAAGCTCTTTGTATTCATCAACTTTCAACTAAATCTTTGTTTCCTATTAACTTTCTCCTCGTAATTTCTCATCTGAAAGTGTAACGGTATCCTAGAAGCCAAATACTGGTATGTGGGAGTACATGACAAATATTGTATACGCAACCAAACTAAAGTATCCGTGCTTCATAGCATATGATATAGTTACCTGAACATAATTTTGTATCACTTTAATTTCTATGCTTAATTTGAATTTCGTTATGCTCTCTGACTTTCCGCTGGGCCACTGAGTATGAGGTTTTATTTCTATTGAGGGTTGAAGCATATAACTTTGTAGCCTGTTGGACAAGCTCATGGTTACTAAAGGTGTTTTTTTTTTCATTATGTATCTCATTTGTTTTCGAATAACAGATTGTTCCGAGGCAGGTGTCCCTATTGCATCATTCAACCCCAACTTCTTCTATCTCTCAAATATTTGGGTTCTCTTCGTCTGCATCGCCACATACTGAAAAGGATCATGGTAGTGCTGTAGAGAATGGCAACGCTTCTACAAATGGAGAGCCAGAAAAAGCAAGTGGAGACGCGAAAGTTGCTGATCAAGCAAAAGAGTCAGGTTATATTTCGGATTCCCAGTCTACCATGTCTTCTGTGAAAAGAAGGAGAGGAGGTACTAAACGAACTGCATTTTCTGATTCAGATTCAGAGAGTGACGGTGACTTAACAATGGATGACCTGGTAAAACTTGTTGCTGAGAAGGAAGATCTTCTGAAGGAGAAACATGAAGAATTCAAGAAAATGCAAGATAAATTCCTCCGAAGTTACGCAGAGATTGAAAATGTCATGGAGAGGACAAAGCGTGAGGCAGAGAATTCAAAGAAATTTGCCATACAGGTCCTGGTTACTTTTGACAATTTATTTCCTGTCCTCAGAGACTTGTTATTTGCTTCTCTTTTTACCACTTTCTTTTGCACAATTGTCTGAAGTCTAACTCTGCGGAGTTTTCATAAATATGTTGCAGAGTTTTGCAAAGAGTTTACTAGATGTTGCAGACAATCTAGGCAGAGCTTCTTCAGTTGTCAAAGAAAGTTTCTCAAAACTTGACGAGTCCAAGGACACTGGTGCAGCATTCCCACTTCTGAAAACACTTCTAGAAGGTGTTGAAATGACCGAGAAACAGCTTTTAGAGGTACACTGTTTTAATCACTAATTATAACCACCCATTGTAATCCTTCAAAATTTGAGTGGCTTTATAAGGCTAAGATAACACTGTTTTAAATGTGTTGGATGTACGTTCTGTTCGTCTCATATGTTTTGTGTCAATCAGGCTCATTCGCGCATATTATATTTTCTATTTCAGGTTACATTTTGTGTGTAGTTGTGTACAGCACAATGGTTCTGTTAGCAATAGAGGAAATTAAATACAAAGTTGTAACGTATAATGCATTTTCCCTTCAGGTATTTAGAAAGTACGGAATAGAAAAGTATGATCCTACAAATGAAGCATTTGACCCAAACAGGCATAATGCAGTATTCAGTTTACAAGATGCTTCCAAGCCTCCGGGTACTGTTGCCGTGGTTCTCAAGGTATGAAATATATAATCAATTCTTTTGCATTTCTTTTCAAATGAGAAAGAAGTTTACTACTGCTTGGCATCAGTACTATAAGTTTATAAGTTGGAAGCCTCGGGCTGCTGCGATTGGAACTCCAATGGATATCTTGACATCTTACAAGTTTGAGATGAAAAAATTTGGAATTGATAAGCATCTCCTGTTTCTCTCTACTGCAGTAAATACTTAATGGAAAAAAATGGCACGCGTTTGATGTTGTTAGAAAACCTGCCATATTCAAGATTTACTTCCAGAAAATGGCTTTTGGAGGCACATCTCCGCACATATTTTTGCACTGATTTCTTTGATATATGTTTTTGTTTACAACAACATTAATTGGCCGTTTTTGCGTTATGACTTACTTTAGTAATGGAGAAGGGTCATTGCAAGGGTCATTGCAAGGACTTGGATAAATTGTTGGCAGGAATGTGACTAATGCAGGAATCCAAATAATTGCTTGAATCTTTACATTATATTTTTTTGATGAACAAAATATGGTTTTCCTTACAAATCTGTGTAGAAATTATTTTACGTTTGTTCAAATGACTTATGTTACTGTAGCACTAAGCCCATGAGTAAATACCCTAATGCGTTTTTGTATTGCAGCCGGGATACATGCTTCATGATCGAGTTGTTCGACCAGCTGAAGTTGGCGTAACAACGGAAGCGGAGAACAATGCTGACAATTAAATTGCAGCTACCAAAATTTTCCCAAGTTACGTCTTTGCGGTGCACCGGATCACATTACAATTTTTGTTGCCTACGTTTGAGAAACTTGAATAGGATTTAATCTTATTCCTGTGACTTAAGGGTCCATAAACTTATTTTCCAGCCTGACAATTTTTTCTACCCAATCATTTATGTTAGTTTTGTAATATATTACTCTTGTTATTATGGACGACACGACCACATAAGTGCCCTGGGGTACGTTAGAGTTTTCGAGAGGTTCGATTTTTGAGCTTGTTGATGGTAACCAAGATGGTTAAATTTGTGCTTTCGTTTCCATCGTACTGCTGGAGCAGGTGTGGTTGGTTTATCATGTTGTAGCTTCTGGAGTCTGGCGTTTGTGCCTTCGGGAGTAAGAGTTCTAAGAAACCACGAGTATTCTTCGCATGTACAGAATCACAACCACTTAAACCTTGAAACCTTGAACCTTTCCCCGACAAATATTTTTTTTTTTCTGTTTTTATTTTTTTCAAAAAGGACAACTGGTTGTAAACCACAATTATCCATTCTTTTTGGAGGGTTGGGAAGACTTACAGAAACATTTCAGCCTCTTCTGATCACAAATCTCGCTGACAAAAATTGGACAGAACAACTTTTTGTGTCTGGAATTGTTGTACGTCTAGCCTTCATAAAACTTCTTCGTTCCTCATGTCCTGTCATAAAACCTCTCGAACCGTAGTGGCGAATGGCGATAGGAGAGGTCCAAAGTTCAATTCCCTCGAACATAACCCAATAAGAAGTCATAAAAATAGGCCACGCGCACATCATAAACAGGAGTGGTCACCAATACAGAGAAATGGCAAACTGGTACACGGCTAATCTTTACGAACAGTCAGCTGCTCGAAACGTCATGTGCTTGTTGATCATGTACCACTACTTGCTAACCATATACATAAGGAGAGAACCCACAAACTAATCCTACGGCTTAGTTACATACATCACACGCAGTATCATACTAAATAGAAATCACACGGCTCGAAGTAGTCCCGGCTAGTGGATCGCTGCACGCAGCTCTAGTTTTTGTCTTCACAAACGCTAAGCGTCAATCCAACCAAAATCTACCTGAACTTGCTTTCTTCATCTGAATCATTGAATCAAGGCTGACACCGTGACCATCTTTCAAGCCCAAATCTAAATCCAGATGGCTTCTGTTTGAATCCAGCACTCCTGATTGGTCCTCGTCCAACTCCTGCAGCACGGATAGCATCTAATCAATAATTTGTTGCATGGTAAATTACTTAAGATTTTCTCCGCTACAGCAAGAGAACCTCAAAATATCCTAACCCCTATTTACTTGATGTGGCCAAGGCGAAAACGTTATCTTCACTTTCACAGTGCTTTGCTAGAGTATCATAGTTGATGATGGTGTTGGTTCCTCAAGTAGTTTCATATAAAACCTCGCATGCTTATATAGCCCATAAGATTTACTAAAATATACTTAGGACACATACAAATGCGACAGTATAAATGCATTAGAGTTTTTTTTTCATTTCTTGCAGCAGTGAAGGTTAATTAAACACTATAAAGCATCTTGCAGCAGCGAAGATATTGGATTTCTAGTGACGCACAATACAAGGCGGGTCATTCTTAAACCAGAAAATTTAACCACTATTTCTGTTTGTCTCTGTGTGTGTGTGGGCACGTACCAGTTCAAGAAAGAACAGAATACAAATACTTGCTCCTCCTAGACCAACACCACGGCCATATGTTGCAGACCTTATGTCCATAGCGCCAAGTTGTAGCACCATGGCCAGTGACTGGTGGTCAATGTTTATTTTAAGCTTTCGTATTATCTTATAATTTCATTTGCAAAAGAACTTAACTGGGAAAACTAAGTGATTTCATAGAATGACCCACAAATAATACTCATGGACTACAAGAAACTAAGTGATGGCCAATACCACCACCCACATGCTCATTCTGCAACGCTAAAAATTATTTCAACCTCTAGGAAAGGGCACGAGAACACAAAAAGACATCCAAGTGAACAAAAAGAAGATAATTGAGCAGGAGTGCAGTAAGTCTCACCTCAGCTTGTTCCTTCATAATCTGATTAATATTTGGCTTTCCATACACCTTATCACTTGGGCTAACCGATTCATCAGTCTCACTAGTTTTCTCCTCATCTCCAACCTTTTTCTGAATTGGCTTTTTCTGTTCCTCTAGCACAGAAACCTGCACAACGAATCGATCATAAGCTATTAACAAAGAGCATTCAACAGCATCAAGCATCTATTGTATGGATTCCGGGAGTAGAGGACTCATATTTCTAAATAGTTCAATTCAGGGGATCACGCAAGTTAAGCTCTCATGAATGCCCCAAAGCATAACATCAGTCCTAAATTGCAGTACTTGGCAGGATAATATATTCGCAAACAAATAATACCGATAATTTAACAAAATTAAAGCCAGTATACTATTAAGTATAAACTCATACAAGTTCTTGTTTTCACAAAAATAGCAGCTACAATTCCTATCTAGGTCACTCTTTTAGACAAAAATCCAAACTTGGAAACACGGTATACAGATTACAGAACAGTCCATCAAATGCTTCAAAGAAATCCTCCAAAAACTAAAAGATAAAAATAAAAGCCCGCAATTTCCATAAATCCTAAAAACCCTAACAACAAATACACAGCAATTGAAACATACAGATGCATACATGCATGTTGGTGGTGTACTTACGGGCGTGTAGCGGAACTTCCGGCGAGGGGGCTCATCCGAAGCCGCGGCGGGTTCGTCGGGGGAGGTAGCGGAAGAGATTGGGGTCCAGCGGCACAGGAGGAGGCGAGAGCTGCTGTTGTTGGATTGGGAGTGAGGGTTTTGGTAAGTAAGGGAGGGGGATGAAGAGGACACGTGGACCCACCTCTTCTTCCACCTGCGGACGGGGCCGTTGAAGACGGTGGCTGTTTGGCCGTACCTGGAGGACGCCCTGCCCAATCTCGACCCGAGTGCTTCCATTTTCGACCCGCCTTTTGCTTCTTCGGCTTTCTAGAGTGACTGAGCCAGTGTGTGTGACTATTTCAGCTACGAGGTTGAGAGATACAGATTTTTTTGTTGTTCAAGGCCTCACGACGTCGTTTCTGTGTTCAGTTACAGCGTCTTTGTCAAACACACGCGACACAGTTCCGTTGACGGTTTGCAACCGTATAACTTTCTTCTCTCATTGGAAAAATGATAACCACATTTTCCTCTGTTCCCTTTCATCTCTGTTTAATTTTGTTCGTTATTTCCGTTGAATTTATATTTAGGATGAAAATTTAAAGACAAAGTCTAAAGTACGCTGAAAAGTCAAGGACCAATTGTGGGTTTGAGCATGGATCTTATATCATGCCACGTACTTAAATTAATGAAAAGTCTCACAGAATCATCAATAGTGCAACGCAATGTTAAAGTTAAAGCTCTTAATTGACAAATTTTAATTTATAGAATAAATCTAAACTAAATTGAAAAATTAATCGATTATAAATTTGACTTCTTTTCTCAAATATAATGATATTATTGAACTAAAGAGTTATGATTGAGCTAAGTCACACAATAAGTTTGCCATAATAATAAAATTGTAAAATTGTATTAATTTAACTTTTAGTTGGATTGATTGTTACATCCATTGTTAAACTGGTGATATTGTAAACGTGAAATCCTTATATGGACTAACATGTAAGTCACATTTTCATCACATGATAAAAAAAAAAAAAAAAAACACACACACAAACACACTCATCAAATTAATGAAGGATTAAATATTTAACAAAAAATGTATAAATTAATAAAATTTTAAAACTTCATGATTTAATATGAGAAAATTGAAAATAAAAATGTAGTTAGCACAAATAAATTTAAGGAAATTTTAACGAAACACTCATATTCATTTTTAATGAAAAATCATATTTTTATTTTTATTTTTCTTTAATACTATTTACTACACCTTTATTTATTATTATTTTTTATTAAAATTAAAAGTTTTTTGAACCTTTAGTTAGTTTTCTTAAATTTAACAAGGACGAGGGAGCAGAATGCAACGGAAAACTTTCTTTGTTTTGTTGGATAATCCCAGTTTTGCCCTTTATCTTTCAAGCTAAAGCTGGGCACCAAGCTAGTGAGATCAGAACGAAACCAGGAACTATGGAGCTCTGTATGGGCGTCGTCAATGGTGTCTCCATGTCGGTCGTCAGCGTAAACCCATCACCCCCTTCACGCTCTCTTCTTTCCCCAAGAAACCCCATTTCTCTTCATCCTTTCACTTCCCTCCGACCCCACTCCTCCCTTTCCCGCCAATTCCAACATCTCCAACCGCCACCACTCTCTCGCTCGGCGGTTCCGGCTTCTCCTTCTTTTTCTACGGCTGTCAGCGACGATAAAGATCAGCTTCCAGCGGACATAATTGTCACAGAGACCCGAGAACCCAATTCCAGAGTAAAATCTTCTTAATTGCCAATTTTTCTAATTATGATTTTAATCTCAATTTTGGTTAATATCATCACTGTCTGTAATCTGTATGCAGGTCAAGTTAAGCATACAAGTACCGCCGGAGGTCTGCGACGATTGCTACAAAAGGGTTATGGCCGAGTTCATGAAGCAAGCCAAGGTTTCTACTTTCTAGTGTTGCATTCCTTCTCCATTGTTTTCATTTAGTTTGTCTGGACTTGAAGTTTAATTTATGGATATTTTTTGGGGGTTTTAATGTGCGCAGGTTCCTGGATTCCGGCCCGGAAAGAAGGTGCCGGAGAGTATTCTTGTGAGTCATGTTGGGAAGAGAAGTGTCAACAAGGCTACAGTTGAATCTATTTTGAGGAGGACCCTTCCACATGCCATGTCTTCGGTACGTTATAACTGAAATATCGTTTATTTATTACAATTTATCGTCATCGTTGTTGTTAAAACATAGAGTTGCTTAAATTCGTGTACTTGCAAGTTAGTGTTTGGATTTGGCTTATTGGCAATGGCTTCAAAATTACAATGCTGCAGTATTTTTACAAACACAACCCCCAAGAACATATAATAAGATCAGCGTTAATTTCTTATGATTTATCGTTCTCGAGTTCTCTGTTGTGGCTTATCTGCTTATATGGTTTAGATGACAGGCACACCTTTAAGAGACTCAGTACGTATTGTAACCAGATTTCCAGAAATGGAGCAGACCTATTCTACTCTCAATTCTCTCAGGTTGCTAATTCAGATATCTTTCAAGTTACATTTTTTCACCTGCATATTTGATATTTCTGTTAATATCCATCTTACAATGCCATAATACATGCAACGTCTCCTCTCACAGTATGTTAAGAGGAGAGGCATGCATTGAAGGAAATTTGATCATGTCAACTGATTATGTGCCTCCACGTTTGATTTGATCGATCATGCCTGTCAGTTTGATTTGTGGTCCAGATATGAAGTCACTGTTGATATAGCACCAGAGTTGAAATGGACACCTGAGGAGGGATACAAGAATTTGAAGGTTGCAGTTGAGCTAGATAGTGACATAGATGCTCAAAAAGCTTCTGAACAAGAATTAAGGCGACGCCATAAGTCCTTAGGTGCATTGAGAATTGTAACCGATAGAGGTCTACAGGTGACTCAAGTTCAATTTACTTTTGTTCTTTTCTGTTGAATTAAATGTTACTTTAATGATATGTTCATTCGTTGCTGGGATAAATTCTGCCAAACACTGCATGAAAATAGTTAGATATCTGTCTGTTGCTCAAGTTTTCATACGGTTGAGTTACTTATTCTATTTGGAGTGGACGGTTGGCTTCTAGGCATTCATTTGGACAGTTACAACATAAAAAAAATAGTCCATTGGAGAAGTTTCCGGTTATCACCTTCAATTTTATGAATTGTCAGACACTCCCAAAACTAATTAAGCTTTATTCGTTCAATAAAGAAAGATCACTGAACAAGCTTTCTTCACTGCACCTTCAGATGTAGTGTTTGAATTCTCTTCAGAAGTACTTCTGCGTTACATTCGCAGTGTTTCATGGATTAGAGTGTCATATTAGTTGAGTTTCAAAATTCCATTGAAGACCCTTCTCCTACTTGTTATATTACGTTGGTGACCGACAAAATTGAGACTCCTACAGATTGGTGATCTTGCTGTCCTTGATATATCTGCAACAACGATAGATCAAGATGAAGCAAATGTTAAGAATATTCCATCTGCTGAGAGTAAAGGTTTGCCAATATCCACTTCTTCTTCGGTTCTATTAACAATGGCTTTATTTTTTTTGTTCGGAGTGATGAAATATTATTGCAGAAGAATCTCTCAACTCTATTTTCTATCTGAAGGTTATCATTTTGATACGGAAGATGGTGATAAAGTAGTTCCTGGTTTCCTCGAGTCGATAATTGGAATTCAACAAGGTGAAACAAAGTCCTTTCCACTTGTCTTTCCTGAATCATGGACACAAGAAGAGCTCCAAGGAGTTCATGCCCAATTCAATGTGAGTGGTTTCCTGTTTTGTAGAAGTCCATTTGGTATACTTTGTCCTCAAAAGACTAAATAGGTGAAAGTTCTCATGTTTTGCTTCTTTTGATTCTCCTTTAGGTTGAATGCAAAGAATTATTCTACAGAGACTTGCCCGAATTGGATGACTCCCTTGCTGAAAGGCTTCTTCCTGGAGGCACCACCCTCAAACAGGTAGCCTTTATGAGATTTTAAATACTCTCAATGAAGTTATACGCTAAAATTGTACTGTCTACAACGCTACTCTGCTGCACGAATATGCAGGTCAAGGAAGTGTTGTTACAAAAGTTCCAGGAAATGGAGCAAACAGCTAGAGAGCAAGCAGCTGATAATGCCATTTTAGATCAGCTTTGCAAGGTGCTTTTAACTTTTCAAATATTCGTCATTAAGATTAGATTGATCTTTTGCAATCTTCACTTGATGTTTGCCTCTCTGAGACAGGGCTTTGCATGGCTTCTTTTTATATCTGTGTACAAACACACACAACTGCACCCATGTTGTTGCAAAACCATTGCAAGGAAGTTTTGTGATTACGCTGGTCAACATGTTTGCGTGAATTCCAGAAGTCCTATGATTTAACATGATACTGTTAAATTGCTTGACAAGCTTAATTCTTTTTGGAGGAAACCTCAATTTTCATAAGATGAATGGTCGTTTTAAATATGCATATTTCAAACAAAGAATTATGTTTCTTTCCCTTAGTTTTATTTATTAAATCCACGAAGGAGATGCAGAGTGTGTTGACATGCGGACACTTCAAGTGTCCTCTTAAATGGGAACTTCGACTTTCAGAATAACTGCGTCTTGTTGTTTTTAGATGGTAGAGGTTGATATTCCTCAGTCCTTTTTTGAGGAGCAAGGTAGGCAGCTTTATGGAGCCAAACTTTTGGAGATACAGGTCAGTAGTTACAATATATCAATGTAAAGAGAATTGCATTTATTGGCTCGTGGTTAGAGTTTGTGTGTGTGTGTGTGTGTGTTAGTGAGCATGTAGGTTCCTGCGTTTTTCTGTTAACATCTTCTATCTTTTGGTTGTCATGGTTTTGTAGGCAAACGTAAAATTAAATGAAGAGCAGTTGGCTTCTCTGTCAAGTAAGAAGGCTGTGGACGAGTACCTTCTAAACCAGAAGGAGAACATAACAAATATGATAAAACAGAGTCTGGCTGTCGGAGACATATATAAACGTGAAAATTTGCAGGTAATTTATATTTATATTAACAGATTATTTGTCCTGAACTCTTTTTCTGTGGGTTATGCTCTTTGTATCTTTTTCTGCTTGGTAGCATAGGCTTCACGAAAAATAACTGGTGGGCTGCAAAACGTATTGTAACCGGAAACCTATTGTTTGTGTTTTGCAGATTTCAACAGAGGAGATTGTCAAAGAAGTTGAAAATTCAGTTGATGAATTCAAACGTCAAAAACAAGATTATGATGAAGAACGTGTCAGGGGACAGGTCAGCATGTGTCACCCTGTTAGAAAAGCAGATTTCAAGTGCATTTAGTTTCAACTGTGTTGGCTATGTGCTTTCTGTTATCTTGATTACTTGCGCTGTCCTTGATTTCAGTCTCGATTTAGGGGAAGAGAGGAAAGGAAATACGTAAAACTAAAAGGATAACCTATACGAAAATGTTTAGTTCATTTTTCCAAACCAAATGCTATTGATCTTCTCCCTTTCTTCTATCCTCTCTTTTCTCACATTTCTACCATTTTTCGTTATGTACCATTATTAAATAAGTCAAATTAAAACAAGAGAGCTTCCTTACGGGCGCTAAATGTTTAATGTTTTTGCTTTCTCCATCTTTTACCCTTCCCAGGGTTTTGAATTATATAATTAATCTTCCAAATTGCAGGTTCAAGAAATTTTAGAGGGAGCAAAGGTGCTTGAATGGTTGAGAGAGCATGCAGAGATTCAATACGTAACCAGATGACGGAGAGGACAAGCATGTCTGTGTTTGCAAGCGTACGGTGTACACAAAGTTGTTCAAGGCTAGTCATGTTTTAACTTTAAAGGTGGTTTCTTTTGACGATGCCCAGCCGCATTCAAGCCAACATAGTTTGCAGCATGCCTAAATTTTACGCTTGTCAGATTGTCGGGTTGAGGGCCTTTAGATCGAGAGGTTCAATTGTTTGATTAGCGAGTTCAAAGCTATTTTTCCGAAATGAAGAATTTTGTTTGTGGATCCAGTCCTAATCAATCCAATATCTGGTTTTTGAAGTTCTGTCAAATTGGTAACAAGAGTTATTTTTTGCTGTACACTGTTGAATCAAGCACCGAAACCACCTCGAGGAACCAAAGAAGGAAAGAAATACGCGAAGAACTACACTAATTAAAACTAATTAACCAAACCAAAACAAAGATTGATGTACGTGACTATACAAAGTAGGGCACGCTGCACAAAATCTTGGCGGTCCATGAAATGGTGCCAATCAGAAAGCATATAAAATGGTGGTCCAAACCAGATTGCATCAGATGAAGGTGGTCACAAAGAAATAAATTCCACATTCAGGAACATTGTCAAGTATGGTCCGCTTTCAGAAATAGTGTAAATAATTGAAGCTTTTTATAAAGGAGTTTTTTAAATAAACGATATTATCTACACTAAGGAGGATGGGGGTGAGTTTAACTTCACAATGAACTAACAATAATGTGATTCAATAAATTGTTTATTAAATATTATTTTTTCTATTTTTAAACACGTTCAAAATATCTTAAGAGGCATGTAATGCCAGTTATAAAAAAAGGTTTTCCACATGGGGACAATAATGTGATTAAAGCCAATGGAAAAGTGAATAGTGATTTTGTTGTCACCAAGCTTCAACAAAAATATTTGGACAAAAATGCCCCCAAGACAAAAAACTTCAAAGGCATGCCAAAATAATGTATCAAATAAGGTAAGGGCATTTTCATCATTTTAACAGTATTAAAGTTTTGACGTGTCAGGGCATATATGGCATACGCCACGTGTCGTACAAATTGTACACATGGTATGTGACTCAACAAAATAGGAAGAAATACCCTTGGATGATTAAACAAGTTTTTCTTCTCAATTTGGGCAATGACAAGGTAAGCACATTTCAATCCATTACGGATCAAAGCAAGTTTTTCTCATTTGGGCAATGACAAAGCAAGCATATTTCAAGTTTAAAATTGTATTAAGTAGGATATTAGGCCATAAATAAGACCACTTCAATTTCAATATTGCATTAAGTGGAAAATTAAGCCATTTGTTAGACCACTTCAATTTCAATATTGCATTAAGTGGGAAAATTAGGTAATAGTGCTTGGGTGGGAAAATTTTGTGGTGGTGATTCACTCTCAAAGCCTATAAATAAGCTTCTCCATCAAGAGAAATAGAACACACCAAAACCTTGAAGCCTTAAAGTTCTAAAGCTCTCAAGAAAATCCCGAATGATCAAGAAAGCACTCTTTGTTCTTCGTCAAATCCTCCTTCAAGATCAAGCCCCAACGGCCCTTGAAGAACTTCCACCAACTCAAGATCAAGCCTCGACGGCCCTTGAAGAAAGTGTTCATCATTCATCATCCGTTCATCCTAAGATCAAGCCCTAACGGCCCTTTAGATCAACAACATCAACAAACACAGACACCAAAACCTTGAAGCCTTAAAGTTCTAAAGCTCTCAAGAAAATCCCGAACGATCAAGAAAGCACTCTTCGTTCTTCGTCAAATCCTCCTTCAAGATCAAGCCCAAACGGCCCTTGAAGAACTCCCACCAACTCAAGATCAAGCCCAACGCCCCTTGAAGATCCATTCATCAACTGTTCATCCTTAGATCAAGCCCCGACGGCCCCTTGGATCAACAAACAAATCCACACATCTATTCTTCAAGATCAAGCCCAAAAGTCCTTGAAGAAAACCAACTGTTCATTCAAGATCAAGCATCGACGGCCCTTGAAGAAAATCAACCGTTCTTCAAGATTAAGCCCAAAAGCCCTTGAAGATCCGGTCATCCATCAACATTCAAGATCAAGCCCCGAAGGCCCTTGAAGAAACTTCCATCAACCTTCAAGATCAAAGCCACGAAGGCCCTTGAAGAAACTTACAACTGTTCATCCAAGATCAAGCCTCGACGGCCCTTGGATCAACAAATCTACATCTTACGGAGATAGAATCAGAAGATCAAATTACAAAGAGATCGTAATCCCAAAATCATTAAACACAAAAAAAATATTATTTTGTACACGTATTCTTGTCTCTTGTTTTCAGGAATATTTCGTGTTTAATGATTTTGGGATTACGATCTCTTTGTAATTTGATCCCCTGATTCTATCTTCATAGGGTGTAGGTTTGTTGATCCAAGGGCCGTCAAGGCTTGATCTCGGATGAACGGTTGTAAGTTTCTTCAAGCGCCTTCGTGGCTTTGATCTTGAAGGTTGATGGAAGTTTCTTCAAGAGCCTTCGGGGCTTGATCTTGAATGTTGATGGATGAGCGGATCTTCAAGGGCTTTTGGGCTTGATCTTGAAGAACGGTTGGTTTTCTTCAAGGGCCGTCGAGGCTTGATCTTGAATGAACAGTTGGTTTTCTTCAAGGGCTTTTGGACTTGATCTTGAAGAATAGATGTGTGGATTTGTTTGTTGATCCAAGGGGCCGTCGGGGCTTGATCTAAGGATGAACAGTTGATGAACAATGAACATTTTCTTCAAGGGTCGTCAGAGCTTGATCTTGAGTTGGTGGAAGTTCTTCAACGGCCGTTAAGGCTTGATCTTGAAGGAGGATTTGACGAAGAATGAAGAGTGCTTTCTTGATCCTTTGGGATTTTCTTGAGAGCTTTAGAACTTTTAGGCTTCAAGGTTTTTGTGTGTGTCTATTCCTCTTGATGAAGAAGCCTATTTATAGGCTTTGAGAGTGAATCACCACCACAAAATTTTCCCACCCAAGCACTATTACCTAATTTTCCCACTTAATGCAATATTGAAATTGAAGTGGTCTAACAAATGGCCTAATTTTCCACTTAATGCAATATTGAATTTAAAGTGGTCTTATTTATGGCCTAATTTCCCACTTAATACAATTTTAAACTTGAAATGTGTTTGCTTTGTCATTGCCCAAATGAGAAAAACTTGCTTTGATCCGTAATGGATTGAAATGTGCTTACCTTGTCATTGCCCAAATTGAGAAGAAAAACTTGTTTAATCATCCAAGGGTATTTCTTCCTATTTTGTTGAGTCACATGCCATGTGTACAATTTGTACGACACGTGGCGTATGCCATGTATGCCATGACACGTCAAAACTTTAATACGTTAGTGAACATTTGTTTCACCGAAATTTCGATGTCTACAAATGCCCCCACTTCAAGGCACGTCGTAGACATGTGCTTGTCACGTGTAGGAGATGCGTTTTGAAGTCCCTTAATGTAGATGTCAACCCAAGGGCCGTCGAGGCTTGATCTTGAATTGGGCTGGAAATTTCTTCAAGGGCTATCGAGGCTTGATCTTGAGTTCGACTGGTTTTCTGGTTTCCTCCAATCGTTGATTTTCCACAGGCTGTCTTGAACTGGGCTGGAGGATTCTTTTGGTCTCCCCCGAAGGCCTGAACTTACTCCTTTTATCTTGAGTTGAATTTGATTCAAGGGTGGTGAACACTTGATTTTGAATCGGACTTGTGATTTCTTTAAGGGCCATCGAGGTTTGATCTTGAGTTCGACTGGAAGATTTTCTGGTTTCCTCCAATCGTTGATTTTCCACAGGCTTAATCTTGAACTAGGCTGGAGGATTCTTTTGGTCTCCTCCGAAGGTCTGAACTTACTCCTTTTATCTGGAGTTGAATTTGATTCGAGGGTGGAGAACACTTGATTTTGAATCGGGCTTGTGATTTCTTCAAGGGCCATCGAGGCTTGATCTTGAGTGAAAATAGGACCATGAGCGGTTTCAGGATTCAGACACATGGCAGGTAAGCACGAGGTGGAGGTGATGACTTGTTTCTTTGTTCAATCTTTCCAATTCATATTGAAGAGGGTTAGAGGATGACTCAGCATATGCAGTTGTTACGTTTGCTAACAATCCACAAGATTGATGTTTCATTGTCACTCGTCTTAGCTGTTCTCCAAGCAGATGTGGTCCCTTCTCTGGAAGTGTATCAACCGTTTGAAGATGACTACTCGAGAGCACGCTAGGTAAGCAACCAGGGAATAGATTCCAGGTAGTCGGTTCCAGATCGGAAGACTGACTCCAAGTGCCGGCTGATTGCTCTCTTTCTCTTTGCCCTGCGAGTAAGAACAAGAACAAAGGAAAGAACATGGAGAAAGCATGATATGAGATACTTTTGCTTTTTAAAGAAGTGTTGACGATTTAACGGCGTAGCGCGGCGAGGCTTTGCTCTTTGGTGACGGCGCCAGCGGATAATAATGTGATTAAATTAGTTGTCAAATGATTTTTTTTTTTTTAACAAACAATATTATCTACACTATGAGGGAGGGGGTGGGCTTAGCCTCACAATGATTTAGTAATAATGTGATTCAATCAGTTGTTTATTAAGTATTATTTTCTCTATTTTAAACACATTATCTTAAGAGGCATATAATGCATGTTATAAAAAAATTCTTTCGCACACGGATAATAATGTGATTAAATTAGTTGTCAAATGATTGTTTTTTTTTTAACAAACAATATTATCTACACTAAGGAGGAGGGGATGGGCTTGGCCTCACAATGGACTAGCAATAATGTGATTCAATTAGTTGTTTATTAAATATTATTTTCTTTATTTTTTAATACGTTCAAACCATCTTAAGAAGCGTGTAATGTCGGTTATTAAAAAGGTCTTTTGCATTCGGATAATAATGTGATTAAATTACATTAAATTAGTTGTTAAATGATTGTATATTTTTTTTTTTTGACAAACGATATTATCTACATTAAGGGGGAATGTGGTTGGGCTTAGCCTCACAGTATGCTAGCAATAATGTGATTCAATCAGTTGTTTATTAAAAATAGAGAAAAACCTTTTTTATCGTCAAATGATTGTATTTTCTCTATTTTTAAACACATTCAAAACATCTTAAGAGGCGTGTAATGCCGGTTATAAAAAAGGTTTTTTCGCAGCGGATAATAATATGATTAAATTAGTTGTCAAATTATTGTTATTATTTTTTTTAACAAACGATATTATCTACACTAAGATGGAAGTGGTGGGCTTAGTCTCACAAAGAGGTAGCAATAATGTGATTCAATCAATTGTTTATTAAATATTATTTTCTCT